GATGTAAGTAAAAAACTTAGATTACAAAGCCATGTTCTAGGGCCTGACTGTCACTGTAAAAGATTGCAATGTTTTCAAAATGTTTCTGAAGGCTGTAGGAACAGTATTTTGAAGCAATTTAATTTAATGTAAAACAAATGACGGTATTATATTTTGATTTGATACAGAGCAGCAACAAGCCGCATATACGTATTTCGATCTCTTTAGATCTCCTCAGTACGGTATAGTTACTACTCCATATCAAACCAAAATATTTTTCCGTCGTAGATCATAGTTATTAAAAATAACTATTTACGGACGTAACTACGCCATCTAAGAACAAAAAGAGAAATCACATGATTTCTACCTGGCGAAATCGAATTCAAATATAGGCCGCCGATGCATTCATCAAGCTGTTTGCTTCGCAAGTCTTAGGGAGCACGGCGGCCTATATTTGAATTCGATTTCGCCAGGTAGAAATCATGTGATTTCTCTTTTTGTTCTTAGATGGCGTAGTTACGTCCGTAAATAGTTATTTTTAATAACTACGATCTACGACGGAAAAATATTTTGGTTTGATATGGAGTAGTAACTATACCGTACTGAGGAGATCTAAAGAGATCGAAATACGTATATGCGGCTTGTTGCTGCTCTGTATCAAATCAAAATATAATACCGTCATTTGTTTATTTACTTCATTTGGAGTACCAGAAATCGAATTCACTACGAATATAGGCCATGATGGACGGCATTTGGAGTGCAATTTTTAGACTCCCTTGCCGATGCATTCATCAAGCTGTTTGCTTCGCAAGTCTTAGGGAGCACGGCGGCCTATATTTGAATTCGATTTCGCCAGGTAGAAATCATGTGATTTCTCTTTTTGTTTTTTAATTTAATGTGTTCTGTTGATGAATAAAACTCATATTCATGTGATCTAATATCTAATTACCACACAACAAATTCAAAACCGACGTTCACGTCAAAAGGAAGAGAAGGCTAAATTTAAAGATGCTGTATATATTTATAGAGTGAGGTTTATAAATGATGAGAATACAACAAAATAAATTCAGCTTTAAAGCTTTTATGGCCATCCATCGTATACTCAAGAAAAAGGAGGTCCTTCAAAAATATTTAAAAGAATTTGGACGCATGTTTCCAAGAGATCAAAGAGGAAAGCATTCTTCAAGACCTAGGAAACTCTCCAAATAACAAAGAGAAGCAGTAACGAACCACATTAGTTCGTTTAAAGGTAAAAAAGGCCATTACAACTTGGCAGAATCTTCCAAATATACTTACCAGATGAGCTATCTATTAATAAAATGCACATAATGTATACTGAAAAATATCCACATTTAAATGTGTGTTACGAAACTTACAAAACAATTTTCTCAACCGAATTAAATTTGTCATTTGGGTGTCCCAGGAAAGACACATGTAGTACATGTGATGAGGTCCACGTAAAAAAAACCTTAAAGGTGAAAATGATAACATTATGTCAGGAGATATTGATGGTGCTCTTAGGCTGGAAAATGAAATAAGGCGCTTAGAAAATATAAATAAACTCCATAAATTGAAAGCAGACACATTTTATAAGAGGAAACGAGAAGCTACAAAAAAAAACAGGAAAAGCAGCAATGAAAAAGCAATTTGTATTGATTTCCAGAAAATTCCACCAACACCTAACATTTTTACAAATGACGTCTACTATGGGCGCCAACTACCTTTGTATAGTTTTAATGTCCACACTTTATCAACCGGAGCTACTACCTTTTATACTTATCCTGAAACAGTAGAGAAACAAAGGTAGTGATGATTTGTGCTCAATGTTGCACGATTTCGTATACAATCATCTTGATATAAGTGTTCAACGTATTTCCATGTTTTGTGATTCATGCGGAGGACAAAACAAGACTTATATTGTTTCCAACCTATAAGATTTCTCCACAACCTAGTGCACAACTAAAAAATATTTAATGAAAAAAAAAATGGTTTCCTATCAGAGGTCTTTCCTATCTTGAAACAGATAGAAATATGGACCTAATTAACCAAAAAGCTAAAGTAGAGCAGCCAAATGAATGGATGGAGATTTTTCGTCAAGCCAGAGTGAAACTTTCTTCTTTTTTTCTAAGCTGCTATTTAGAAAATGGTCAAACCACCTGAACAAAACTTACACCAAGAAGTGTCCCTTTAAATCTAGACCTCTTGGAGAAGCCAAAGTTGTAAAAGCGCACCCTCATTTTATTTATTACCGAAATTCATATAATGGTTCTTTTTGAGTATGAAGTAATTGTAAACAACCGTCCAATATCAAATCACTCTAACAAGACAATGAATTTGAACTACCAAACTGTCTTTATGAAGGTATAAAATAGCAATAAATTAATGTAGTAGTATTGGGACCTAAGTATTCTGTTTGTAGGTTTGATTCTTATTATTATATATATTATTATTATATGGACGAAGCAAAATTGTATTATCTTTTTATTTTTGTTGCTTTTCTTAAATTAAATTCACTATGCAACAAAAGACATTCCCCTTTGTTATTCAGCGAAAGTGTATTTCTTAGATATTTTTTACAATGTAGTATTTTACCGTTACCCACATTACATGAAAATTTTTAAAACACAGTGTTATACCAAACGTATAATTAAAAAAATACCATATATAACAATCATTAATATTAGTCTTATAAGACACCAAGACACCAAGTAGCGATGGTATACCCGCAAAGTGCTTAAAACATGGAGGAGAAGCTGTTGTAAAAACAACCTATATAATATTGTAATCATATAGTTATTTTATTAAATTGTGCTCTCAGGTCGTCAGCTATCGTGTTAACGTGTGTGCGACTGATTTTCTACATCAGGGACCCGCCCTCCCCTCGTTATATAACTTAGGAAAGACAGTAAGACAGTGCCAATTTGCCTCTCGGCAAGTGAAGGCCGGGTGTGTGTGATCCCGAAAAGTACGTAAGCCGCGGATGCGCTATCGTGAGCCGGTGTTTTCAGTGTTTTGTGTTAAAACGTATATAGTTGGTCTCTCTCAATTTTATCATTTCATGTATATCTGTTACTGCCTCCCCGCACTCACTGTAAAGCTAATATTTGTATAACTCTTTATGTAACTATCAGAATTGCGATAATTGTCAATGTTTGAACCAGCCCTTAAGTCTATTGTGTAAATAAATCGAAGGAAAATACCTCTTAATTGTTTTATTGCTTCAGTGGTCCTTAAATATTTTGAAGCAATTAGGTGTTCAAATACGCCTCTCTTAAATGTGGATAGTTTGGCAACAAAGTTTACCCTTTCCACCCAGAAGCGTTGTACAGTTCTATATACAAGCTAATTCAAGACATTTGGCGAGAAGAAACAATGCCAGATGAATGGAAAGAAGGGGTTATTGGACCAATACACAAAAAAGGAAACAAAAAGCAATGTATTAACTACAGGGGAATAACACTCCTAAACACCACCTACAAAATCGTTGCAAACATCCTGATAGAAAGAACCAAAACATACACAGAAGAAATCGTTGGAGATTATCAATGCGGATTTAGATCGGACCTCTCTACTATTGACCAGATATTCACAATAAAACAGATAATGGAAAAATGCTGGGAGTTTGATCGTGAGCTTCATCAGATGTTCATAGATTTTAAACAAGCATTTGATAGAGTATGCAGGGACAGACTGTGGACAGCGATGCAGGAACTTGGTTTTCCAAAAAAATTAGTCATGTTGATACGGATGTGTATGGAACGGTTACGATGTAAGGTGAGAGTTGGACAACAACGCTCGGAGACATTTGAAATAAACAATGGACTAAAACAGGGAAATGTACTTTCATCACAACTCTTCAACTTAGCTCTGGAGTGCAAGAATCGAAAAACCCAATACATTATTTCATCGAGAAGGACCAAACTTACTACTGGCATTTTCAGACGATATCGATCTAATAGGAAACACACAATTAAGGATGAAGGAGACTTTCGTGAGAAAGACGAAACAAGACGAAATATATGTATATGAGCCGCAATAACCAAAGCAGAGACAGAATCGGTCAGAACATCACCATCGATGACCTTAAATTTGAACGCGTTAGAGAATTCAAGTATCTGGGAACAATAACTGAAGACAATAACGGATCACAAGAAATAAACAACAGGATTCAGACCGACAACAGATTTCTTTTTGCACTCCAAAACCTTATAAAATCGAAACAACTAACACGACGTACGAAGATACAGATCTATAACACAATCATACGACCCATTGTGATGTATGGAAGCGAAACGTGGACGATAACAAAGGCAATTAAAGAGAGACTATGTATTTGGGAAAGAAAAATCCTAAGGAAGATCTTTGGTCCTGTGCTGGATGAAGCATCAGGATAATATAGGATAAGAACTAACAAAGAGCTCGAAGAACTTTTCCCAGACGCCAACATCTTAAAAGAAATAAAGTCCAGAAGACTCCAATGGGCAGGACACCTCAGAAGACATTATGATGAACGAACAGTAAGACTGGTGTGGGAGGAAGTCCCAACTGGAAGAAGACCACGCGGACGCCCTCGTCTCCGGTGGCGAGATAATATAGTTAAAGACCTAAGGACTATGCAGGTGGAGAATTGGATGGAGGTTGCTCAAGACAGAAAACAGTGGAGGCATGTTGTCGAGTCGGCTAAAACCCACGAAGGGTTGTAACGCCACAGAGTAAGTATTAGTCTTATAACTTTGAAAATGCTCTCCTGAAAAATTAAACAAAAGTGACTTTCCTCCTTTTTCCCCTGTACCCTTTAATTGTAAGTCTAAAATGAGGATTTTTTAAATTTATTAGGTACCACGCGACGATATTTCGTATGTTTTGAATAAATAATAATTTTCATTTTAGAAACATAATTTTCATTTAATTATAATTACTGTTTATGTTCTTAATGCCTTTTGTTTTAGCTAAATCAGTTATTAAAAAGTTAATAAAACAAATAAAGTTCTTACAACTATCTTACAATATATATTCCTTACCTTCGTATTTTGGCAAAAATCGACTAATAATATAGGGAGCAGACACCAACATTCCCAAAAACGCAATAGTGGGCCAACTCGAACCAGCACCTCCAGGCGGTACGGGTGCTCCTCCGGCCACAGCTCCTTTCTTCGCTTGCGACCAAGCTGCCGATACTTGACTCGTCGGTACTTTGTATCCCATTAATCGTAAACATTGCCTATATAACCAATTGAAAAACCTAAATATATTTATCGAATACCAGATATGACCAAACATAGTCCTTAGTCGTCCGAAGTTCTCGGCAACGCTTAAGACAGCTCTAAAACTGCTAGTCATAGCGAAAAACGTATTGTCTAACATCATAGCTATGCTATTAAAGGCTCTTACAATGCTTTCCACACTAGAAAAAGTATTTCTCGAGCTTTCCTCGGCGTACTGAATAAACCGTCGTTCGTGATCGTCTAAGGCCTGATTGGGATAAGATCCATAGGAGTTATAAGGGTCGTACGAAGAACCGTATGAGCCATAACTTCCATAGGAACTGTAGGGAGAGCTGCGATATGGCATGTAGGAATTATACGAATTGTAGCCTCCATATGACGAACCTGAAAATAAAAAATTCTGATTAATAGTATGCACGTTCATATTTTTCTAACTTCTAACGAATTCAGATAGAAATCAATTATTATTAAGAATCATATCCACTTTGGACTTGATATAACTGTGTTTAAAAAGTTTCTGTCATTAAACATTGAATACACAAGGATTCTAATCACAAAGATTTAGATCTGGAAGATCGTGCGTAGTAGCCGTATTTGTACTAAGACAAATTATAGAAAAGGCCATCGAGTACAATAAACCAGCATATCTATGCTTTAAAGACCTGACAAAGGCTTTCGATCGCATCCAAGTCGAAGACATCTTACACCTACTGTATAAGAGAAACATACCACCAATCAATATTATACAAACCATCGAAAACATCTACTTCAATAATCGAATACAGGCGAATAAATGGAAAACTAACATAATAACGAGTCAGACAGGGTGACTCATTAAGCCCACTTCTCTTTAATATAATAATGGACGAATTAATACAAGCATTAAAGGTCATGGTTACAGAATGGGAAACAAAAAATCCAAATATTATGTTATGCAGACGACGCCGAGACAGAAGACGAGCTTCAAAGATTAACACACATATTCAATATACAACAGCCAAGAAATACAATATAATATCAGCAGAAAAAAGCAAATGTATGACAACATCTAAATACTCACTACGATGTAAAATAACCAGTATGAAGAAAATGTAGGTGAAATGCAATTTGAATTCTGCAATTCCATGGCTACACGTGAAGCACATTTCACCTTACAAGTCCTACTTCAGAGATGCCGCGATCTCAGTTGTGATGTCTATATTTGTTTTATTGACTATGCCAAGGCATTTAATCGTTGTCAGCACCAGGAGATGGTTACCGCCCTACAAAGAGTAGGATTGGATGAGAAGGACATTCGGATCATCATGAATTTATACTGGAACCAACATGCTCAAGTCAAGGTCGAAGACCAGCTGACCGACCAAATGAAGATCATGCGAGGAGTAAGGCAAGGCTGTGTGCTCTCGGCAACTATTTTCAATATATACTCTGAGGACATTTTTACTAAAGCCCTCACAAACCTAGAGATGGGAATCCGAGTGAACGATGAATACATAAATAATATCCGTTAAGTAAAAGTGACGAAAAAAAAATTAATACGGACCTCATCTGGCGAAATAGAGTTTCTATTAGTACTAAACAGCTCTTGATATTTAGTAACTCATTAAGTATTGATAAAATTTTAAATCAGGAAATAAAGTAGCAAATTAATTTTCCGTATTTTTTTGCTTTTTACAAATTTTATGCATCCATGTATTACACTTCCTATTTTTAATGTTTATTTTGTTGTTTAATTATTAATGTTAGCGGTAATTATTAACTACCGCTAACTTAATTTTGATTAAAGAAATATTAGTTATTCACTTATTCTCTTAACAAGTCGTCAACAAAATAAATTTTAACCAAGCATTTTCGTGTAAAAAACTATTTTCGTTAGAACCAGAAATTTTAGTTAACATAAGGACTTAATAACATCTTTTTAGCAGTCATGTGATTTGGACTGTAATTTAAATATCTGTTATAGCTTTCTATTTACTTCAGTTTTATATTTAATATATGAAACCAAAGTAAACCAAAGTCTATATTTAATATTGTTCTTGATATTAAAACCTCCAGATTGGGTAATGATTTATTACAATGATAATAAGTATTATCTCTTCATTAAGTCAATAATTCGATTGTAGTTAAATATTCGTGAAAATAATTATAAGTATATCAATAATAATTATAGATTTAGTTGTCAATATATTATCATTTCCACCCTCATTACTTTTAAAGTTTTATCTAATGGCACATTTAGAAACAAACAAATTGTGGTTTTAATCCCATATAAATACTACAGTTAAGTGAAATAAAGAATTTATTTTATATTTAATTTTTTACTTATTCTAAGAAGATATTTAATAAAGATGAGCATCTATAATTAAATATTCTATAAATATTGCAGATAGTCCAACGAAGTGATAGAGAGACTAAGCATGTTTGTAATAAAATTATAGAACAAATACAATAAGGTGATTCATTTACAATTTACATTATATGATTTGATGCAGTTTGAGAGGTAGCATTTGTACAAAAATGCTTCACAGAAATCATAATAAAGATATTTCAATAGAAAATTAACTCTTAGTCAAAGCTATTCGGTAAATTGTGTTATTCAAACGATTTTAACTTTTCATATACATACAATTGATACACTATAGTAGTCGTACCTTCTATAAAATTCATTAAATTCATCAATAGACAATAACATTTGTCTGTAGCAACTCATATTATTCAAATGGATGTATACACTACACATTTTATTATCCCACACTTCAATAAATAAACTAATGAAAAGCTAGAATTGCTATGACAATAAAACTGGTAAAGTACCCTACACAAGACTCACTGGTAGCTAGCTATCTTTACCGCTCAACAACCCTTCAGGTTGCTGAAGGCGTACATGTGTCTTGTGGTAACTGATTGGTCACCAAATATGCTTTGAAACAGTAATGTTTATGCTTACGATCTAATACTCATATAGGTTAGAAAAATACCCTTTAACAACAGTGGTAAATATAGCTACTACTTACACTTAAAGGGTTATGTTAACAGATGTCTATTAACAGATGACAATTTGAACACAGCATAAATGTGATTCTATCTCTAACCACTTTATACCCAGTGCACTCGCTTATTTACAGGTTCAGACCACTCTCGTCTGCATTATAGATTTGCTCAGGAAGAAGACCCAGTCGTTCTCCTTTGTCTTTAAAATGCTGGATAAATGGCTGCACTGCAGATTTGTCGATTGACAATTTTTCACCTGATATAGTTAACAGACAGATGACAAATTTTCTTTTGTAGTTCAGCTTACATCGTATTTACGTGATTTAATATCTTTTCATTTTTTAAATGAAAAATAAATGATAAATCTCCTAAATTTTAGAATACTGATAATTCATAATTACATACGTTTAGGCCATTAAATTGTTATCAGCACTGAAGAAAAATGTTTATGTAAGAAATGATTACCACTTAATTTGATTTATTTTATTGAGATAACGTTAATACTTTATAGTTTTCAAGAAACCAAACAAAATCAAATATTCAGATAAGGAATATTCAATTCCTTTCGAGCTTGACATTCAGAATTCTACTGATATTAGTATTGATTCTGCAATTTTTTTAAATGTTTGTGGCATATAGTTGCCAATGAGAACAATAATGAGAACTTTTGTGATGTTTTGAGCAGCAAAATTGGTCATTTTGTTACGTTTTATGGGTTTCTCAAATCTTCCAGAAGTTGAAGAGCAATTTGAAATAAGCTCTAATTTTTGTGGACTGTCAGTTTCTTTTATGTTCAGCAGGAAATCAGCAACTTCTTTAGATGTAGCTTTGCCAGTAAAATATTAAACAACTGTTGGTGATCAATGTATCATCAAATAGATTCATTGTTTCTTTTATTCCCTGTATACTATCCAAGTTTATTGTGTCCTTTTGAATTTTGCTTTTTTGCAAAGAGTGTGAAGTATCTTTATTAATTAATTAAATATTTTCTTTCACAATTGATAATATTTTTTCTTCATGCTGTGGCTGAGTACTCATGCTTTGTAGCTACTTACCTTTAAATATTGTGTTAAATATTTTTGTGAAACTCACTAAAAATTGATAGAAAAAGTCATTTTTTAATTATTAATTAATTAAAGTCTGGGCAAAATCATATCAAGCAACTCCTGTTTTTTATAATTTTTAACATATTAAATTACCTAACAAATATTTTGATCCATTTAACAAATCGGAGAAGGTCTTTGTTATATCGGATCTTTTACTATAGCCATATCTGCTAATGATGACTGATCCTAACTTCATTAAAGACCAGCAAAAACCACTTTTTAAAAAGTCTCAAATAAGTTCAATAAGTGTCAAATGTTTTTATCCATGTCCCTGCACCGTTTTGGGTACATGTGACTTTCATTTAACCAAGTTTCATCTGTATGAATCTCTTATGTTCATCAATGAATCAATTAAATATTTTTCAACCAATATACTTTTCCAATTTCTTAAAAATCGAAAATTCATTTTCTTTATGATTCTTTGTAATAGCTGTGGTCATATTTATAAAATGTCAGTTATTTATATTACTTAGTGTATTATATTCTTATTACTTTTATCTATAACTTTTTTCAGCCATTAGTTTATGGGTTATTATTATTTTTTTAATTTTCTTTATGCAAAACATCTCTTATGACTAAGCTGTCATTAATTGTCCACACATCTCAGCACAATCTTCCTCTAACATATTCAGTTCTGTCCCGAATATAATCTACTTTAATCTACTGTCTTTAAAATACTTATTGCTTCTTCTAATTCTTCAGGTGTTATTTCTTCCATTTGGTATTCTGTTACTGCTATCTGTTCTATGGTTTCCTTTGTCTTTGTTTCTTCCTCACCCACATATTTCCCTTCATAATATTGGAAGTAGGAAAGAAGGAGTATGTCTGCAGAGGATGGTTGGAAGAAATCCAGAAAATCAAGATTAGGAATTAAAGACATTGCAACAGATAAAGCAAATAATAAAAGACCAGAAGTGAAATAAATGAGTTAAGGTGGATAGAGACTAGCAACATATATTGCCCTTAATCGGGATGAGGAATATGAGAAGTAGGTGAAGATAACTTAGCAAAAGGCTAGAGTACTTTACACTTTGAGTTTAGCTATATACTTTCAAAGAAACATAATTATTAAGATACATTATATTTTTTTGGAGCAATTACAAATCATTAAAGAAAAATATTACAAATCATTTAAGAATAAAAATATTGTTGTAATTTTTAGACTTTTATTTTAATCTGTCTATAATATTGTTTGTTGAAATTATATAATTTTGACTTTAGTCCAAGCACTTTATCATCTGGCATAGCATCTTCAGTTTTGTAGTAGTATTTCATTTTTTATTAATGATAACTAGAATTAGAAATTTTTTCTGATAATCCAATTCAGTTAAGTTGTATCTGTAGTAGCACAATTATTTAAATATCTCAAACCAGCTTTTTGTCAGATGAACTTATTTATGTTTCAATATTAATTTATATTAAGTATGGACTTTTTTTATAAAACAATTATTAAACTTACTTCACTTAATAAAAGGAATTCAATATAATAAATGTCAATGTTAAATTGTCCTAAATTTAAGATATTAATAATTCAGAACTAATTAAAAAGAAAAAAGTAATTAAATCCAGAAATACATTTCTATATTTAATAGTTTCATGAATTATTAACTGTAATTCAATAAAAGACAAAAATATATGTACTTTGAATATTACTGGTCAAGGCTGATCAAAAATTTAAACAAACTATGTTAATACTTACCAGAATATGGTAAATATGAGTTGAAAGTATTATATCCAGTATTTCCTATGATTGAGTTGGATGGCCTAGGAGGTAATAAAGGGGCGTTTCTACCACCAGCTACTATTGGGAGAGTAACCGAATTCCTCACAGCATGTGAAGAATTTTGCAAATTGTTTTCCTCAAAGGGTTTTGAAAAAGACATTGTAGATTGTTGAGATTATTTAAATGGTACTGCTAACTTTCACATCACTACACAACACCAGTTTTTTATAGCATTTGCTGTCTGTAACATTATACACCTCTAGTTCATATTTAAGAATATATAAAATGATTATAAAACTAAACTAATCTCGTAACAAGTCAAGTCTCACTCTCACTAAATTCAGTTTCAAAGTTTACCTTAACAATGTAAGTGAATGTAAAAATGACGTATAATAAATATTAATGACGTTTCTTCAGATACTGTTATGACAGATTAAAAAAAGAAGAAGTAAAGGATAAAATCCACAAAACAGTAAAATCGGAAAGATGTTTTATGTTTGAATACGATCTGACCAATGACGTGTAAGAATATATTTATTATACGTCATTGGACCGGCCCAGTGCAGAAAAAATCAAATTTTATAAAAAATTGATCCAGGCAGCCTGAATAACGCAGCACTGTTTCTCCTATTGGACATTGTTGGTTGCGCATCTAATGTATTTTTTTTAATTGTAAGAGTTTTAGCTGTTTTTCAGTGCAATAGTATTTTATTATTGTTGTCTCATATTATGATATTATGAGATAGTATGCATTTATTTTTTCAAATATTTCGATTTCTTTGATCTGTTTGATTATATTACAATTATAATCTTTCTTTCACTCTATTTGGTGTCAAGTTCATCGTATACCGGGTGGTGAATCGTCAAACGGGCCATAGGAAACTCAATGAGAAATTTTAAATTGTTGAATTGCTGCTTCCCTAATTATTTTAGATCAAAAGTCATAAAAAACTATTTGTAGAGGACTAAAATCTGAATTAAAAACAAATGTTAAAACCGTTCTACGAATCAAATGTACTTCAAAATTTTGAAAAAATGTGATACATTTTTCAGACCACCCCTAAAAGTTAGGCCACACGTAATGCAAGAATATATATTAGGACGTGTGTCTTTTATCATATTAATGTCAGATGTTTGACAATTTGAATTGTCAATTTTTTTATTTTATGATTAAATTATAAACAATGAATTTTACTAAATACTACTACTACTGAACATTATTACTTTGTGAAAAATAAATTATATTTTTACAAATCGATCAATATAATGAAATGTACTTAGTTGACGAAAAATCGCATAATGTTGTACTCAGGCAATAGCGCGAACCTTTTCCTGCCACTACCGGATCTTTATTTAACGTAAGATATTCTAATTCACTAAAATTTAATTCCATGTTAAGTTAAGTTATACAACAATTTAATGAATTCCAATATACTATTACTGTGATCTTTATTCCTAATAATAATATATGATTATTTCTAAACATAAAACTATAACAAATAATAAAACATGAATAAAACATTTTTATTATTGCTTTTTTCTCCTCAACTGAGTACATTTTTTAATCAAATTAATTTTTTTTAAACAATAAATCACAAAATTTTGGTCATTTAAATCATAGATAAATATAATATAATTGATTTAAATATTATCAAATATCAGAAACAATAATATGACAAAACGCAACACGTATTACACATTTTTTCAAAGAAAAATGTATTATATTTTAGCAAAATTTTGGAATACGTTTAAGTCGTAGAATAATTTTAACAGTTGTTTTCGATACATATTTAAGTCCTCTACAAATAGTTTCCCATGACTTTTGGTGTAAAATAATTAGGGAAGCAGGAATTCAACAATTTAGAATTTACCATTGAGTTTCCTATGGCCCGTTTGCCGATTCACCACCCTGTAGATTTTTATGTCAAGTTTCTACTTTAGATTTTGTCACGATTAATTTTGCTGCCTTATTGATAAGCTTAGACTTAAATCTTTGTTAGACCAATTTTCTCGTAATTCTTTTTATGTTTTCTTTTATTATTGTATTTATTTTATATTATGTTATAAACGAATTTCCTTAACACTAACTCACTTTTTTCTATTTTGTAGATCTTTTCTGCTTTTCTCTGTGCACCGTAAATGTCGTGATCCATATCACTTGTGAACTGAATCCAAGGTTTTATTTTTATTGCCTTTGTTCGTGAGTTCATTCTATTATGTTAGGTATATAGTAGATATTTGCAAAGACTTGGTGCCTAAAACCGAAAATGACCATCTGGACATATAAAACAATTATTAGACCCATGATCACGCACGCATCACTCGTATGGTGGCCAAAAACAACAAAGCCTACGCCAGCTACAAAAAGTTCAGCGGCTACCTTGTCAGGGAATCACAGAGGCAATGTCAACATAACCAAACTGCAGCTCTAGAGGTGGTGCTGAAACTTCCTCTTTTACAGTTCTGCATAAGGAAAGTGTTTGTTCTACTGTGTCGGCTTTTTGTTATAATAGACTGCTCATTTCTGTATATTTTATTTATTACAAGACAAACTAATACTAATACATAGGTAATTATCTGTAAATAGCTATCAGACCAGTCTATCGACTGTCAATGACTGTCTTTCTCTTTCACTCCCGGGCTTCTTCTTCTATTTGACATGTCACTAATGTTAAGGTAGATTTACACATATTAAGGTAGATTTTCAACTTAATACGATCAAACAGAAAGAGACAGTAACTACCACCGTAAAAACGCGACAGACACAAATAATGAAATCTGGGGTTCTAGTTGGCCGCCCAAAAATCTTGGAAGAAATTCCATTCGATTCTAAGGTCCGGCGGACAGATGCCATGCCAGTCAAATTTAACTGCGAAACACCCTTTGATGTCGTCATGAAAAACTACCAAATGGGTGAAAGAGTTGAACTGAAATTGGAAGAAGGTTCACTCGTATAGCATACGGATGGATCTAAGATAGATGAACGAGCAGGAGTGGGAGTTACTGGGCCCAATTTCCGGCTATCCAAATCTCTTGGAAACACCCCAACTATCTTTCAGGCAGAAATACATGCTATATTAATGCCCAAGAATGTCTGAACCAAGACACTCGTAGGACAAAAGCTTTTATTTTATCAAACAGCAAAGCCGCCTTAAAGGCTCTAAAGTAATTTACTTACGAGTCAAAGTTGGTTTAGGACTGTAAAAAATCCCTCAAGAACCTAGCGGAATGCACAAAGTAACTTTGATGTGGATTCCAGGTCACAAGCGAATTGCAGGAAATGAAGAAGCTGACAAACTCGCAAAAGAAGTGGCTAATACCCCATTCCAGGGTCAAGAACCCTTCTGTGGAATATCGAAAATACGGAATATCGGTACTGCAACAAACCGCCTTCTCGAAATGAGTAAAATAGATATCTAAATGGTCACTGGCCTTCTCAGTGGTCACTATTCTCTGAGATATCATCTAAAAAAATGGAGAAATCAGATACTGAGAACTATCATTTCTGTGACAACGAAAAAGAGGCGGCAGAGCATATACTATGAATCTGCGTTGCACTGTTCTATAAACAACTAAAATTCCTAGTAGAAGTTAGTTAAACGTACTCTTGACATAGGAAACAAGTCACCTAGGAAGCTAATCAACTTCATCTGAATTATTGGCACCCAGAGTTCAACTAGGTTAAGGTATGCACAACATATCTCTTTAAGTCGACGTGCGGTAAGGCTGCTTTGCTTTAACGACCTCACATAATCCAATCTAAGTACATATGTAGTAAATCTCAATTTTTCTCTTATTATCGTAGGTTCTCCAGGTTTACTGTTTGTTATTTTGGCTTTTTAAATAATGTATTAAGGAAATCCAGGTTTCACTATTAAAATAATTATCCAATGTGTGTCTGTTCTTGTTCCCAATTCCCAAACCATATTACTCCCAAACTATATATATTTACTGCCATCTTTACTTAAAAATATCGTATAAAGTTCTGAGAAGTCGTCATCAGTTACTATAAATATTCTGTCCATGCAGTCTTAGTTAATAAAAATTAATACCTTTGTTACTTTTGATTAGAATAACCTTCATTTCATTCAAGCAACAGATATGTTGCGTATTAATAAAATGAATAGTAATAATAACTAATAAAGTGAAACTTATAATTAGCCTTAAACCCCCGAACGGACAGCCATGTTGTAACCTCCTACTTGACAAGTTGCCAATACAAAGAATATCTTAAATAAGCAACACAATACAAAAGCACATATAATAAAAAATTTGCACTTATCCATATTTATTTTGACATTATACTCCATTCAATCTATTTAAAACCAACTCAAATAGTTTCCAATATTTCCTTTTAAGATCCTTCACTATAAGTATTTATATCATTAAAATTACATGGAACCTTTGATATAACACATAAAATGAAACTGAAACATCCCCACATGTGTATTGAATGTCAAATATTTTTTGTATTCAGGATGTACTGTTAATTGATGATATACTCCAGGAAGGTCCCACAAAGGTCCTTTGGCAATGGGTATTGATGTACATTCAATACTTCATTTACAATTTATTGGGTACTATAGCCATGGGTGATATCCATTCACTAAAAGTAACTGGTTTTAACAAGAGAAATCATACGATTTCTACCTGGCGAAATCGAATTCAAATCTTTACCACTGTGCTTTCTAAAACTTGCAAAGCAAACATCTTGATAAATTACTCGGCAAGGGAATCTAAGATGGCATTCCACATGCCGTTCATCATGGTCAAGATTTGTAGTGAATTAAATTCCTGGTACTCGAAAAGGAGTAAAGAATTAAAATATAAAGACGGTACTAGATTTTTGTTTCAATACAGAACGGCGGCAAGCCGCTTATACGTTTGCTTAGCAAGTTTTGCACAGAGAGACTATACCGCTCTGAAGTTACCTAAAGAGGTCGAAATACGTATAAGCAGCTTGCCGCCGCTCTGTATTGAAACAAAAATCTAGTACCGTCTTTATATTTTAACTGGTTTTAATATACTCACCTGCACCATTTCTTCAAGGTTTCGCACCACCTTTGGTTTCAATCCAATGGTTATATCATATGCGTTCTTTTCATAGGTACTACATTATTCTTTAAGTATATTGAACTTAATTTTTATTATTAATTATTATTTATAGCCAATTCTGCTACTTACGCAGCTCTACATGAATTTTGAAATGTTAAATTTTCATCTGCTAACAGTTTGCGTTAAATATTTTACTTCGTCCAAAGATAATATCCTGTATTCTTTAGCTTTCCCGCCAAATGTTCCTTTATAGCCGGTAAACGCCATTTTATATAAACTTCAAGAATTAAACCCCCATAAAACATATTAACTCAATTTCTGTTTTGTCGCCAGAAGGCTGTGAATTAATAAAACGAATAGTGAACCAAAAAATATCTATTAAAGTGAAACTTAAAACTAACTTTATCGAACCCTCGAACTGGCAGCCATGTCTTAACCTCCTACTTGACAGGTTGCTAACCCAAAAAATATCTTAAATAAGCATTGGTTCCAAATTCATAACAAGATACAGCTTTTGTTTCTTACCGTTTATTATCTTCTTCTATTAAAGTAAAACAAAAAACATAATTTTAGTACATAAACTTTTATTTTAATAAACATTCCCATCATTATAATATTATACACACAAATAAATTGTTTTAGTACAAAGCCCGCAGTAAAATAAAAAAAATTATTGCATTTTATTCATATAAATATTACCAAAGCTTCTTTTCAGCGTACGAGTATTTAACGTTGATGACTTGATTCCAAATACGAATTAGTAGGCAGTGACGTCATTTAAGATTGAAAAACAGTTGTTTAGAGCCACGTAAAATATCCTCGAAATAAATAAGGTAGTTTGATGTACATATGAGACAGTATGGACAGACAAATGCTGAACATTAAACTATCAGACAGAAAAAGAAACGAATGGGTCCGTAATAAAACAAAAGTGAAAGATGTCTCAACCCAAGTAGCAAAGCTTAAATGGAAGTTCGACGGACACACCCTAAGGCAGAAAGATGAAAGATGGACTAAGACAATTATACATTGGAGACCATGGAATCACAAACGAAAAAGGGAAGGTCACAAATGCGATGGTCAGATGACCTGACGAAACACGCCGGGTCAAAATGGATGCAAATTGCCCAATATAGAGAGGCATGGAAGAAGGAGGAGGAGGCCTATATCCAAGGATGGATGTTTAGGGCTGTATAGATAGATAGATGAGACAATATAACCAATATGAACATTAAACTTCCAAGTTACCTGCAAAGATTTAAAGATAACATCTGGCAAGAAACGTTAACAATTATTATAAATCAAGGTATATGTAGTCGTTTCTAAGTTGGGAGGAAAGAAGAATAATAAAATCTGTATTTGATAAAGGTAATATTTAACTACAAATATTCCTTTGAATATTAAACAGAACCGTATGAGAAATCAATACTCTAAAAGAAATCAGAAGAGTCTGTTGAACGAAAAAGATAACTTGTTTTAGGGAATATATGGGTTTTAGCTACAATAAGTCGATATAAGAAAGTAAATACACAGGTGTCTGAAAGTATGGCATGACATAAATATTAAAAGCTAAAATTAGTCTGGCTACATTGAAAATATACAGAATTCCATTAGTCTATGGTTAATATACATCTAATAGACATTGTAAATCTAAATAAAACCAGATAGTATTAATGTACTACTGACGAAGCTTCATGTGTACAGTAACTACATGGTAGAAATATATTCAAGGAGGAGAAAAAATGGGAAAAAGGATACTAGATCCGGCGAGACATATGCGAGATCATTCAATCCGTTACGTGAGAAAACGTGACTCTCTACAAACTTGAGATGATATCCCTGACAACTATTTCGTATTTATTAATTCCAACTAAGATAACTAAATTAAAGCTAACATAAAAAAAACTAAGACTACTTTTTTTAAAATATGTAAAGTATCTAATGGATTAGAATGTATCTTGAGCAAATAGTATTTTTATGATATTCAAAATAATTATTATCACATCATATGTCATTGTTTGTTCTGTAAGTCAGTCAGAATTTAAGCGACCACCGAGCTAGAAGGCGTTTGATTCAAACCACAGGTGCCATCTCCTCTGTATACCCTATAGTATCCTTGCTCGCCCCAGCTTTTACCCCAAGAATTTTTAACTATCCAAAATGGAAGAGTTTTGTTAAACATGGGATAATCTGAAAAAATAAAATAAATTCTAGGTTTACAGTTTTTTTATCATAAAATATGTTACAAAATAGGGTTGAGTCAAGCTGAATTTAGTCGCAAATTTAGCCATGAAATAAAATATTTCGGTTTGTCAGTGTTGGGATGTTAATGCATATGTTGTATGCTTCAAATATAAACAGAGAAAGCTTTTAAAAAGTACATTTTAATTATACTATTTTATGAATTCTGCAATTTTTAATATATATGAAACAATAAGGAGTATATATTTGTCTCCTTCGAGATTAATTTCAAACATCTGTTGTAACCTGGCAACTGCTGATGTGACGATTGCCAAATCTAACTCCTAATCTATCAAAGGGCAATTGCCAAAAAAAAATTCTAATAATTAACTGCAATTAATCTCCAAATAAACAAATATTTACTCATTCTTGTTATATATATATATATATATATATATATATATATATATATATATATATATATATAACGGTTTAAAACGTTCTCCTACGTTTTTAGATACCCAGTTGTCACTCCTCTCGACTCACCCATAAATCTTCTCTATTGATGCCTTCTCTCCAACTAAGGCGGGGTCTTCCTTTTTTTTTTCTACCGTGAAGGGTCCACATTAAGACTTGTTTTGGGAGACGTTTTTCAGACATTCTCTGTACATGGCCGTACCACCTGAGTTGTTGGTATATGTGCCAATATCGTCTACTATACAACAAATTCAGCATTTTGCATTTATTAATCAGAAAGCTGTGTTCAAAGAGAGTTCCGACTTTGTTCCGGTAACCGAATGATCACCGGGAAAAGTAATTCTCCACGGGTGGAAGAACTGACATGTGGCACTTGGAGCTGAGAAATTGACTCCAAAGGCGAAAGAGCTAAATTAGCCAACGGCATTGAGATGTGGAAAACCACGGGAACGGGATGACTATAACATTGAAGATCCGTAAGGATATCCCCAGAACACCACAATGGCTGAAAATCCAAAACAAACGGCCCTCAGTACAGAGCACTCCTTAAGTAGGGAGAGGATGCTAAGAATCCCCCGGTCAGCCAAAAATATCCCAAAAGTTAAAATGATCGGTACGTGGAACATTCAAAGCATGTACCAAGCAGGCAAAGCAGCAAACATTATTCAAGAAATGACTCGTCCGAACATAGATATTTTAGGATGCAGTGACGTTCGATGGCCAAATTCTGGCATAAGAATTATAGATGAACACCATATCTATTATTCTGGAGAAGCACAAGAAACAGAAATGGGTTAGCGATAATAGTAAAAAGTGAAATAGGTAAAGCAGTAATAGGATTTACGCCCATATCAGACAGAGTTGTGCCATTGAGAATTAAGTTAAGTCTCTGATATAAACATCATTCAAGTTTACGCACCGACATCAGACTCCACTGAAGAAGAAATAAAAAATTTCTAACAGACTTTCTAAAACTAACCAAAAAACATGAACTCACTATTATCATGGACGATACAATGCCAAAATAGGACAAGGTACAGTCGAGAATGTCGTGGAATTATATGGTCTTGGCATAAGAAACGAAAGAGGAGAAAGACTTGATAAAATTCTGCCAAGAGACGAATATATTTACAGAATTCTCCATTTTGTCTCCGGCTTCCGTACACAATGTAGCTTCGCCTATTTTAAAAAATTTTAATGTGTTTGTCCTTGTGTAGTGTAGTGTGATGTACCATTTTGTGTTTATACTACTTTTTTCTTGTCGAATAGGCCACAATTGACAAAATGCCCATGAAGATGAGATGCTATAGGGAGCGAAAGTACTTGGGCAAGATTAAATTAATTAAACTGTGCTCGATATTTGCCTTTTATTTGATCAAAGTTCATTTATTAGAGCATTCAACCTTATACCAATTAAAATATGTTTATATAAGCACTATGGAATATGAAACTTTTTACCAGATGCACCGAAAAGTACAATACGAATTCTGACCAACCGACAGAAGATGGCGGGCACACAAAAGCTACAAATAGAGTACATATTCGAAAAACCTCATCAAGAATGTACTATTACATTGTAGCTTTTTCAAAAATGTTAAGTTAAAACTTGTACTTGTTTATAACTGAGTTTACTTATTGTAATGAATTGAAACATGAATGTGTTATTAATGTTTCAACTAATATTTTCCAGGAGTTTTTTTTTAACACAAAAAATTCATTTTAGTTAAAACTTATTTTTATTAAAACAAAAACATATATAATTAGTAAAATTACGTATAACTATTAAAAACAATCTAAAAAAAATCACAAAAATCAGATCTTTGTTCTTTAAATATCAATAAATCTAAAGTTTCTCAGGTAAGTAAATAATGAGCTACCTAACTTAAAATTTAATATTGAAAAATAATCAACATATATAAAAGGTATCCAGTCCATATGGTTTAAGCAACAACCCCACTGGATGGAGTTTGATTTAAACCACAAGTTCCATCGCCTCTATAAACCCTATAGTATCCTTGCTCGCCCCAGCCTTTACCCCAGGAATTTTTAACGATCCAATAAGGTACTTGTTTCTTTGTAAATTTGGTAGCTAAAAAATATTAACGAGTAATCCACTAGTTACAACCTGAGATCAGAGATAAAATAAAGATAAAATGAGAAATTATAATATTCATTCGTTCAAATAAAAAACAACAACAATAAAAGGGAGGCTTATTCCAAAGCGTGCTCTAGTTATTTTTTCCATGGCTTCATACACTTACATACAGAAAATTCTATTAAAATAAAATTGATAACGACCAATATTAGCGAAAGTAAAAGCGTGCTGTCAATACTTTAGACGTGTAAATCAGCGATAAGTATAATGTGCAGTTTACTTGGACACTCTGTATACACGAATGTACATAGTAACCATTATACCACAGAATACACCACCCAACAAGAAGCGAAATATGTTAAATTGTTTACGTATTGAAAAGTGTTCTTTGTGGATGTTGTTTAATAGTAAAAAATAACAATACTGTTATACATATTTTTTATATACACATACATATTTTAATGCCTTAAAAAAAGTATAATAATATATTTCTTTTACCTATTTATAATATAATAAAAAAAAGAATAATACTGTTATACATATTTTGTATATATACTTCATCTAATTTACTTACCGTTACACGTCATCCGCGTGGTCACATGATACCAACACGAAGTATTTAGGCGGTAGGTGTGTTCTTTTTTAGAATCACTTTGCCGAGTACACTGGCATTACAGCCACTAGATATATTTTATTATATACGCGTAGAAATAATATATTTCTATTTATGTTAACTTAAAGAAATACACAATATTATGTTTCATTTAATTTGTATAAATGCATTTGGTTTTATATTTTTACCGATTTAATAAAATCTGTTCTTTTTAGAACAAAATTAGTGTGTTTTATTTCAAAACTGTCACGTAAGAATTTAAATAGTCGTTGTAAAGAGATGGTAATACTTTTGCAATAATTATGTGATCTATTTGATTTAAAATTGGATGGAAAATGAGTCAGGATTTTTTTATATTTTGGCAAATATGTCAACTTCGATCTCTGTCAATGATAATGACATGCAACGGTAAGTAAATTAGATGAAGTGTACATATACATATTTTAATACCTTAAAAAATCGATAAAAAGTAACAGAAATCGACTGATTTTCATCTCTATTTTGAAATTAACTCTCAAATTCAATCGCTTTTTATCGGTTTTTTTAACGTACTAAAATACTTTTAGTACATTAATTTGTTTGTTAAAAAAACAAATCGATATTTTTGACTTTTGATTTAAGACCTTTTTAATTCTCAGTACATCATTGATATATGGGATATATTAATTTGTACGGAAAAAATACAATTCGTGCAAAACAGATCTACTTAAAAAACTTTTTTTTAATAATTACTTTGTTCCTCAGTGTAACTATAACTTTACTACTGTTTTGAACGACTTCCTTATTACTTTTCTTTGTGTACTAACTAGAGCAACTGCCATTCTCCCTCCGAAATTTCTGTCCTACGAACATGAAAGGTACAGAAAAAGCTTTAGCTTCTTGTTGGGTAGTGTATTCTGTGATTATACTTATTACATCATATAAATCATACTTACTATGAACACCATATCCAACTATAAGAACACCATGATCCAAGTTTTTGGGATTACAAAGTACTTTATATGGATGAGATACTCCTCCGGCATAAAACTGCATAGCGTTTGCATTTATTGCGATAGAAATAGGACCGTTTTGAGTTAACCACTTAGCCATATCGGTTTCATCGTGGCTTATGTTTAGAGCTCCAGACAATCTAACAACAGCTTCAGTTTTGTTGAAGTGGCATTTTTCGTCTCTAGCTTCGTAAGGATACTCTCTTTCTAATTCAAGACCTCCTAATTTTTCAATAGTCCTACAAAATATTTTGTTATAAAATATATAGTTCTATATGAATACGACAGATGACATTTATATTCTGAGCCGAATAGAATAAAATAGAAATATGCTTTATTATCACTGAAAATTGTACAATTTTATGGACAAAGCTTAAAAAAGTCAGAAAAATAATAATAACAACAATTTAAAATTTACTAAAATTACATAAATCCTCAATATCACAAAATAAAATATAATATAATACACAATCCATTGCAAAATTTAAATAAATTGCAAATTCCATAATAAAACCATACGAATTAATAAGTTTAAGTTGCTGCATGTCAACGGCGGCCGGCCAGGTGAAGTAGGTGAAGGTGAGGTTCACCAAAAAATATAATTAAATTGAGATAGATAAATAAAAAATAAAAGCAACATTATTATATCTAAATTTTGAAATCAATTATTTATTCTATTTTAATTAATCAAAAAATAACAAAAGACAGCTAGCTTTATTAGCGGTGCGGTAGGTACTTGACGGTCAAGTACTGACCTGTGTCACTTGCTGTCTATGATACAGATTCAGGAATAGGTGAATATCATTTTTGAAATGCGAAATCCATCTGCACAAGCGTACACGGTTGCCATGGCAACGTGACGTCAGCCTATCGCTAGCTAGTGATAGTTGAGAAAAATAGCTAGTGCAGTTCCGTTAAAAAATTTATTATCCGTCTTTACCCACTGGCCACTAGTTGCATGGGTACCTATTTAGTATTCGCAGCGACAATATTTTGAAATTTAGTCTATTATATAGACATTTTTTATATAATCTAGTGTATAGTATAGTATTTATTAGTTTAATTTTTATATAACTATACATTTTTTTAACGAATTTTTAATGAGATTTGTGCGCGACATACCAAAATTCCTTTTGGCTCCGGTAAGCTTTCCTCATCTTCGTCACTTTTTTAGGCCACGAGCCGCCGCTGCTGCATATGAGACCCAAATAAAAATACTTTAGTTATGCACTTGTACAGTTACTTGTACATAAACGTACTGTAATTTCTTAGTTATTCGTTAAGAAACTCTTCCACTAAATAATATGGTCTTTCAGATAAACAATCTTTTGTCATTTTGCGGACCTTAAGGAAAGATATTGTTCTGAAGCTATTTTCTTGTGGCATTTTAAATTAATTACTACTTAAATGAGAATAAGCCACAATTAAATGTTAAAGTACGTTTATTGACGTTTCAATTTCCACTTCGGAAATTGTTCTGAAACGTGAATAAACGTACTTTAACCTTTAATTGTGGGTTATTTCCATGTAAATAGTAATCAATTTAGGGAAAGACATTGCAGATTTAAGTTGCAAAGGGAGATAGTTGCATATTTTTTTTTTGCCGAATATAATATATTAGGTTTCTTTACTAACTCAGTTGACGGGATCGGTAAATACACATCGAAGGTTGAATTTCTGGTGGAGTAGTCATGATTAGGTCTTGTTGGAAAAACGTGTAGGTGTTTCGAATTAAGGAAACAGTTTCTAAAATATATAAAGAGTGAAGAGTTAAAATCCCGTGATTTTTGAAGTTGCTACTGCAATGTGTTATTCTACTGAGACCAAAAAGATACCGTATTGCTCTTTTTTGTAATTTAAAAATATCATCAGATTGGGCAGCTTTACTAGAATTCCAAAAAGGAAGATCATATCGAAGATGAGACTCGAACAAAGAAAAATATGTTAATTTGGATGACGCTAAATTGATTTCCTTCGAAACATCTTTTATTGCATAGCAGACTGAGGCTAGTTTCTTACTTAAAAAATCGATATGACGGAACTTCGTAACTTCATATCGATAGAAGAAGGATTTAAGGTTGCTGTCTATAAAAATACCAAGAAATTTTACAGAACCAACGAAACTGATCTGGCTGTTATTAAGATGCATGGGTTGAAGATCTCCTTTATAGGATAATGCTACTGTCTAATCCACGTTAAACGAAATTAAATTAGAGTCTGACCAGGTTTTTATTTAAAGTAGATCAGAAGTAACAGTTGCATAAAGAGTTGTAATATTAGAGTTCCTCCAAGCGATACTGATAATTTTCAATCGATTTTTAAGTTAGTGATGTCATTTATAAAGGTAACAAAAAGTAGAGGACCTAATTCTGAACCTTGTGGAACTCCACATACAATGCTTTTGAGACTAGAGTTCCTAAGGAATAGGAAACTAGTTGTTTCCTATTCCTTAAGTAAGATTGGAACCAATTTAAAAAAATACCTGGAATTCCGTAGAAATTTAGTTTTTTTATCAAGTTTTCGTGATTTACACAATAAAAAGCCTTGACATAGTCGCGAAAACCAGTGGCAGTGTAAAGATTATTGTTTAGTGCTTGATAGACATCATGTAGTACAGAAAACATATCATCACTGGTTCATTTGTTAGATAAAAAGCCGAACTGACTTTGTGATAACATGTTTTTTTTTTTAAAAAACCGTTAAAAACAACCAAAACGTGCTTTTAACCGAAAATATCGACAATTATGACATCTTCATACACGGCATACTAAAATAAAATAATAAATATCTTACCTAAAACATTAAACTAAAATTATTTTCGTGGTTTGAATTTTAATTAATTAATTGCGTATCATTTGTGAACACCCTGTATTTAGAAAGAATGTTACTAACTCAAAAAATATAAAGAAGTTTTGACCTATAGCACGATATATAATTTTTTTCTAGAATTTTACATAGAATCTAAAAATGCAATAGTATACAGGGTATCCGGAAGACGCAGGTCTGTCAAAATATTTTCTTTAAGTTCGTCCTAACAATTTTCATAAATATCATGTAAGTAGTTTCCCATTTATAAGTAAGTAGTTTGCAGTGGTTGGGCGTGAGAAAATTACCCCCTCCACTCCTACTCTGACGACACAAGGACCACGCACTGACGCCACAAACCCCGCCCACTGACGCCCACAAGCACCGCCCACTGACGACACAAGCCCCACCCTCCAAGGTTGTTATTATCAGTGACAAATGAAACGTTCAGAGTCGAGTCAGCGTTGAGTCAGCTCGTACTTAGCGACAAATGTAACGTTCAGCGTTGACTCGACGTCAACTCAGAGTCAAATCAGGGCGGGCTTGTGACGTCAGTTTGCGGGGCTTGTGACGTCAGTGGGCTGGGTTTGTGACGACAGTAGGTGGGGCTTGTAACATCAGAGTGCGAACGGAGGGAGAAATTTTTTCAGGCTCAACCCCCGCAACCTCTACTAGATAGTGAAAGCTCGTCGTAATATTTGTATGTCGAAGTCCACTTAATAGTAACGTTTAACATTCGAAGTAGATTTAATACACATATATTTACCTGTAAGCATTATCCATCAAACCTCCATTACATCCGTCATCCAATTTATCACAATCGACTAACTCTTGTTCAGAAAATGATTGTAACTTTTTGTATTTAATTGCATATTGTCCTTCGACGTTACCAGTAGTACTAAAAGCCCAACAACTACCGCATGCCCCTTGATCTTTGATTTCCGTAACTGCATTCTTCTCGCGCCAGTCAAAAGATGTTGGTAGATCAATTTGCGGGATTTTTGCTTGTTCAAAGGGAATTTCGTTTTCGCTTCGAAGATCAGTCCTATAACCATGAGACATTGAGAACTCTTCAGGTGTCATGTCAGTGTACTTAGTAATTTTATATACGGCCGTTCCTAGAAAAATATTTCAAGAAATCAGATAAAAGCAAAATTAGTTTTTCAAAATATTGAGAAAAGTAAAAAATAATTGCTCATTATTTTAATTATGTCAAAAAAATGACCAATGTAATATTGTGTTATTCTCTTTTAGTTGAAAATATTAATTAATTTATATTATTAATATTAATATTATTAATTTCGTCGTTTGGTCATATTGTTGGAATGTAAGTAAAATTCCATACCGAAGATTAACCATGTTCTCACCGTAACCCTAAGCTCTCTCTAAGTTGGACATGTTTGCACCAATTTTTAAGTGGCGCAGTCGTTTAGATATTCTGTGCACAATGGATTTATCTTTTTTTTTCATGATATAAAATATTTGCATCTAAAAATAGCAAAAATCCAAATTCCACAAAAAATTCAGAGTATCAAAAATTTTTTATATAACAATCTCTGATATTTAAACTTTAAAACGAAATTTCTTTTGCTTACATTTGTTTATATAGATTATATCATCAAGCGTTTGTTTTATTTGCTTGATGTTAAGGGAAGGTAGTTCGTTGGAAGTATATATTATATATATAGCGAATGTTTGCAACTTTAATTTTGTCGCTTCTCGCATCCCAATCGCCATAATTTCTTATCGGCCCAGTCTCCTTCTTGAAGACCTCTATTTTCCATTTATATATAAATATTGGATATCCATTTCTTTCTTGGCCTTCCCCTTTTATTTCTCTGTGTAGGTCTAAAGTTCCAAACCTTATAATATATATTATAGTATATATAATCGTCTTTGTAGTGGTTCCCCTGTCCTTTCTTTTTTGTTTCGCTGAGTACTGCGATGTCAATTCGGTATGTACTGAGTTCCTTAAATACTTGGTCTTCTTTTGTATTCAGTCCTTGTGTGTTCCAACATCCAAAATTCGTTAGCCTTTTTCTTTGCCTATGTCGTTTTCCGTTGAAGCCATCCGAGTTCCGAGGCTGTTCTTTGGGATTTTTAGCAATATTTCTTTTACGCAGGGCGGGGAGCTAACCTACCGCTGTAACCCTCCTCCTTCATCCGGGCTTGGGACCGGCAAGTACTCGTTGGAAGTAATTTAAGAAAAACTATTCAATATCTGCGATATTTTTGATGTCAAAATAAAAAGCAGGAGCACTAAAATCTGATCTTCAACTAGATATTTAATTAAGATCTAAATATATGTAAGGTTTTTTATTAGAAAAAAAAATCGCATCCACCAAAAGGTTATTAACGACGGAACAAAATATAAGTAACAAAATTGAATAACTACAGATTATACAAAATATTTAAAGGCCTTAGATATTTAATTATAGTTCGAGATATTGTAACGATGTCTTTCTTGATCATATTTACCACAGTTTATTAAAAAGTATTCAACTGTTAATCGAACGTTACACTTCCATGTTGATGAGCTTGGGACAGCTGGCATTTTAGTAACTTTTCAAAAGGATGTTTCCGAAAAATATGTTTTAATAGATAAAAATGAGTTTAGAGAGCTACGGGAATCTATTTGATCAGGTATTTTGTGAAGGTAAGCTCGTTAAAAAGTTTCACAGCACGGTATATAGCGTAGAGTTCTGTTGAATATGTGCTACATACTGAAGGCAGACGGAAAATAAGATTTGTTTTCTAAGGAAATGATTGATGCCCCCACTCCGACTTCGGACTTGGATGTATCTGTATAGATTTTGTAGTAGCCGGGGTAGTTTTCTAAGAGGGCTTCGAACTTTGGCCGAATAAGGGAATTGGCTATTTCGATAAAAACAAAAAACAAAGCCCCGCAAGGAACCAAAAAAAATTAAAAACAAAAAATCAAAACAAAAATGTAAACTAGACTATACAGACTTTTTAAGTAAAAAAGTTTTTTAAAGTTTATAGTAAATCGAGTGAATCTTTATAATACATGTTTGTTTACTGGCATCTTGTTATACTGGCATATTTTACACAAAATTAAATTTCGTACACCTGTATCACCTTATATTAATATCGAGCTTAGTATCCCGGTTTTATCCGATTTAATTTGTCTGTGTACACTTTTTAAATATCTATGAATAGTTATTTTTAGAACATGATATTGTTCCTGATTTCTTAACTGACCTGTTGATTCTTAAGTTCTCTAAATGCAGAGAGTTCTATCTTTTATGCAATGATACATCATCATCATAGAATTTGTTTGTCACCATGCACAATAAACCTTTTATTGAATCTTCAACTTGCCTTGATCGGTTCTGGTTATCATATGACAACAACACAAAAGCTCCGATACTACGAGCATTTTAAATTGACACATCCGTTTTGAATTGACTTTGGATTTATTTAATTCTCATTGTACATTAATTTAATCAAAATCTAAAATATAGCTACTCACCTTGCTCATGCTTATTTAGCAAATAAATAATTTTCAAATTATCTTTAAATACACCAAAACGATACATATGTTCCACTACATTCATATATTTCTTGTCGTACTTGGCCACAAAATGTTCAAATACACTTGATAATATTGTTTCATCGTTCTCTAAAATACAAAAGTATATACATAAAAAGGTTAAATGTGTGCATATTCATGCAAATCATTCATAACTTTAGCCAGTTCTCTACTAAAATCAATTATTATATAAAAAGTGATGGGCTTATCGAAGAGTGTAGGATTGTATGGTCGGCGTATTGTAATTATGTATTGTTTTCCGAGTTTATAGGCTCATTACAAAAAGTTGCAGATCAACCGTTCAACATAAAGATAGGAAATGAACATGGGAGTACAAGAAAAGGATAAAAATATTAATGAGAGAGAGTTATGATCTACGAAACATACTGCAACTAAATAGATGAGGAGGGAGTGATGTTTAAACATCGATATATCACTTCTTCTTATTCTTCATGTGCCTAACCGTGACAAATGTTGATGATCATAATGACAATTTTTATCACATCACTCAATAAATCCATATGACATAAAGATGGCGCCAAAATACATACGTCATTTGTCGAAACTTGGGTTTACTGAGAGCAGTTGTTTAGAAGGTACAATGGTTGGAGTGGCACTACTTGTGCAATTTTCAGAACAACCAGAAAATCTTAATCTCATTGTCATGGGAAATACAATTTCTATAAAGCAATAATTTGATCATTGTAATTTGCACTTTCTCCGTCAGATGTAATAAAAGGTGTGCTAGTTGTACATTTAGAAAAGTTATTGATTACTTAAGTTATCCAAATTCGGCTATAGTGTTGAAAAACATCCATATAATCCTCACAATGTATGCTTAAATTTATTATTAAAGGAAGAGCTACACAAATCGACATGAACAAACTGTCAAAACGTCATTTGTCAAAATTATATATAATGATACTGAATACTCTGACTGTAAATAGTTTTCTTGGAAAATATAAAGTCTACAAAATCATATTGATCGATTACAAATTGAAGTTGAGTGATTCTGAAGATATAAATGAAATCAGTCTTAACTTTATATTAAATTCAGTAATTAATTTTGTGCTATGTTGGTCAAATTTTGACTTTCACTGGAAGTAGTTTCTTTTGCTCGTTCGGGGTGGGTCTTGGCTGAATGAACAACGTCCTTACATTTCATACAGTTGAGCATGCTAGTTGGCTCGGTGGGTAGACCCATTGTTCTTAAATCTGAACATCTCTTCACCGTATCGTGGGCATCCTAAGGGCCTTCTTCCTATCGGGGCCTCCTCCCTGATTAACTTAGCAAAGTGATTAATAGAGAGAATGTGAGAGCCTGTAACCCATCCGGTATTGGTTAGTATTTTTTTTCTCAAAACATCTGATTATTCTTTTCATTGTTTTTGTTAGCATCTACGTCTTACACTCATATATGAGCACTGGTCTAAGTACGTGTGCTCATAGCAAATACTGATTGTAACGTAAAACTAAACAAATATTGACATGCAGTTTTTCAACAAAATAAAACTGCTAACCAACTACTAAGAACGACAGGAATCGAGACACTAAGATCAATTACTGGCAAATTTTTTAGAGATAGAGCGAGGAACAGCAATACTAGGACTCTTGTAATTTCCAAGACGTTGTAAAATAGTTTAGAGTCAGAAAAAGAGCATGGAGAGACTACCTTAATATAATAGATGATAATAGATTTGAAAACATTGCAAAGGAAAAGAAACCGAACACCAGTAGACTGACCAGAAAACCCCCTAAACGCTGGTATGAAAGTTGGACATCAGAATCCCAACTTGAGCTACGACTTAAAAAAAACAAGACACTGTCTTAAAATAAGAAGAAGAATAAAAATGCATCAATTACAAAATCAAACTATATATTTAGAAATTTATCTTTACAATTGTATAGTCGTTTATAGATTTATATTTACAAATGGAAGAATTTTAATCAAAATTAATAAATATACACTTCCACTATTCATGGTTACTCATCTTTTTTTTATAGTGGCAGGAATTTTTACGTTCTACGTATCAGATATTGGCTCAAAATATTCCCAAGTTCAATAAATCAACTATATCAGAAGGCAGGACATTCATCTCCTTGTATCAATGTTTCTCAATGTTCATTGATGTCAAATAAATTTCATCTTCCCTCTCCACAATGAATAAATACTTAAGTAAAAGCTTTCTTTTAGTGAACGAAATTAACTACGATAAAGGGAAAAAAGGTATACGGACGATTAGAAGGTTATAATCGGGATCGTATTAAAGAATTGTGGACGCTCTGACAAAAATGGTAGGATTAAAATATCCCTTCACAATTTTATGTTGCACGGTTATCGGTATAATCGTCCCGAGAAAAACGAACCTTTTTTTCAAGCAAATGGAACTGTTTTAGGGAAAGAGGAAACGGGTGAAATGGGAAAGGGCGGCCCAATAAGTACTTAGTCTACAAAAGAAAAACAAAAATTTTGGAAAAGTGACGATTTATTATACATAAAATGCCGATGACCAAGAGAAAAATCTCCAACACGATGGGCAGACCAAATAAAGGGTCTGATGGGAAAGTTACTATATAAAGCCGTTCATATGGCACAGGATCGCAGCTAATGGGGACAGCAAGCTAATAATATTTAGTGTGTCACCACGATTTGATAAGTTTGCAAAATAGATCACCGTATTGGCGATGATCTCCTCATTTGACTCAAATGTCTGCCCATCAAGTGGTTTTTTCAAGTTTGTAAATAAAAGAAGTCGCACGGGACCAAATCTGGAAAATACGCAGGCTGGAACAGCAAAAATTTGACCAATTTGGTCATGGCGACGGCAGAGGTGTTAACTGGTGCGTGGTCATAATATAAGAGGACATTTTCTTCGTCAAATGGGATCGCTTTTTTCTACAATTCAGCGACGGCTCAATAATCGGCATAGTAGAGCCTTGTGACCGTATTTGTCCTTCTCCAGGTAGTCGATGCAGATCAACCCTAGGAGGGATTCACAGAAAATGATGGCCATCAACCATCCAGCTGATAGTACAGTTTTCGCCTTCTTCGGAGCACGTTTGTAAGGTGAAGTCCACTGTTTTGACTATTCCTTGGGCTCTGGTGAATACCAGTGGATCCTTATTTTGTCAACGGTCACGAAACGACGCAGAAACTCATTCCGGTTACGGTTAAACAGCGCCAAATACCACTTTCAAGAGATTTCACGGTTATGCCTGTCGTCCGGAGTGTGCAAACGGAGCACCCATCGCGCCGACAGCTTTCTTATGCCCAAAATTTCATGTACGATAGAACCGATAAGGTCTTCCGAAATGTCTACTGTCTCAGCTACTTCGTGCATCTTCAATCGGCGGTCTGTCAATACAAGATCGTGGATTTGTTTTCGGAAAACCTGGGCGTCCCATCAAAAACCGACGGGCGAGAGACGGCCGCTTCCAAACAAAGTGTCAATGTACTAGACGATAGTAGATTTCACTTGCCATAGTGGCGTCATCAAGCTTTGAGGCTAAGTACTTATTGGACCGTCATCGTATTACAAAAGTATATTTCACATAGAAAAACATAAGCCATCAATACATAAACAATGGTAAAACAGTTACAAATGAAAAGATAGCATTTTATCCATTCTAACTTACCTTAACATATAAACTAGAGGTTAAAACATGCATTACTGAGGGATTAATTAATACATGCAATTAAGTCATATAGGTGAAATAAAAGCTTTACAGATTCCAATAATATATATTTAGCATGCAATAATTTGTTCACTTATATCAATAATTATTACCGTCAAGTGATCTTCGTAATCTGAAAGAATGATGTTCTTTTACAAGTACGTCATCATGACAAGTAATATTTGTTTCTCTTCCATTTTTAATCCAAGGTTGGTCCCAAACTTTGAAATCGCAAATTGTTGAATGACCATTTGCTTGAAGACCGCATTCAGAAGCGTCAACCTTGCTTTCTTTTTTGCAATCTGATAAACCTATCTTGGCTTTGATACGATGCAGAGAACCACTGACAACCTATAAAAATGTATGTTTTAAAATTCGTAATATATAAAAATCAATAAAACTTCATTTAATAAAAATATATTATTAGATTAAACTAAACAATATCTAGCTTATCAATAAAGTTATCTTGTGAATTCGACCAGAGGGGCTCAATCATCAAAAAGAATATAGATTAATTCAAAGATAAATTCGGTATTGTGTATTGATTTCAAGTCCCCATTGTTTAGACTCCTCGATTAATTTTCGAGTCATATATTCAATATCTTCATAATCTTGTGCAATCACTAGTGAATCATCTGCAAATGACAAAGTGTATATGCTATTGTTGTTAATCGGCATTCCCATATTTCTACATTTCGCACAAATATGGAAGTTTTCTTTGATTCTGGATTTGGTATCCAATAGCTTCTGTTGCTGCCTCCTGGAGACACCTTTTTATGTGAGTCTAATGTTCTTCATTATTATTAAATTGTTTAATATCCAACTTTTGATTTAATCGATTAGACATTACACCTTCGAAATGCGGAGGGGGTTAGCTACAGACAGAAAGCCAGATTCTTAGCTGAGGAACCTTCAAGATTTTTTTTCATATAGCATAAGACCATGGAACCTGTGCCATAGTGATCGTCAACGTCGAATAAGTCTGATATAGTAGGAAAAAGAATAAGTTAAGATTGATCGATGTCATTTTGGTAATTCTACATTCACTATCCAGAAACATGCCCTGAAAAGGTAAAACAGATTTGCCTAAACAGGGTACCCCAAACGTATACCCAATCCAACACCACCCAAGACGACTAAATATATTGCATCGATCGATCGCTTGTGGAATCGGATTCACGCAATAAAACCTGAATTGAGATGCTTTCAGACTAGGCGTCGGACTGGTGTTCCTGGTGACCCCCTGTTAAGCACTCTTTCACAAATAGGTCATAGATCAGCAAAGTTAGATATATAGATCGGAAGTTCGAATGCGCAGATGACTGGGCAATAATAGCAAACCTACACCAAAATTTTGAACAGGCCGAACAAATTCTAACAGGTGACTTCAAAATATTCGGCAGTTATTTGGCCTTGACCTTGGCATTAGACAGAACGTTGACGTTCAAAAAACATCTTACAAAACTTTCTGCTAAAATTGGAACTATGCGGCTGAGTTATGTGGTTCTACTTATGGAGCTTTAGATGAGACCGCGAATATCTGCACTAGGTCTGGCTTTTTCAGCAGCTTAGTATGTCGATCCTCTTTGGTCAAATATCGTTTACAACCAAAACATTGAAGTACAATTAAACGATACCTTGTGGATTATCATCGGTATCATCAGGTATCCCCCTACTTACTGGCCACATTTCCTAAGCCATATTCCTCACCAGATCTCCGAAGAAAACAAAAATCTTAAGGGGAATATAAAAAAATCTCCACATCTCCACAAACACAGAACCTACCATGTATCACATAGAAACCATCTGGCTTTTAGTTATCAAGGAAAACATGGACACGTCTGAATAGAGTTCGTACACACCATGGCAAATGTGCGGATTTCCTAAACAGGTGCGACTGTGGTGTTGCAAGAGAGACTGTATAACATGTAGTAGGGAAATGCCGAATGAAAGCAGTCGCGAGGATTTCCTGTCAGGATGATTTCCTCAATATTAGTAAAGTGAATATTGATCAGTGTAGTAGTGTCTAGGGGCTCCGAAGACTGAGACCTCGGAAGTCCTGAAGAAGACATCAGAGAGGATGTCGAAACATAACAAATCTCGTCTATAACAAATCCTCAGTAAAAAATATTTATTTTTATAACTAGGTTTATAATTATTCATCTTACCCTCATATATAAACTCACCTGAATAGTAGCCTCCAAAATTTCGATTATTTTAAATTTGAATTCATGGGATGACTCTTTATCTAAATGTAACAATCCATCTTTTAAGAAACGCTTCACTTCTGGATCATCTTTTGAAATAGGACTTATACCTCCTGGAATTTGCCTTACGTGTCTAGAGTGATCATTATTAAAGCATTTAACTTTATCTACTGTAGACTTAGCAACATCAACATCGTTAAGAGTCATGTATACCTGACAGTCTGCGTAAACATGATTCCTCTCAAATAGCATATGTAACATGTAATAGCGACTATCTAAATCTACTACATCGGAGCGAACAATCTCATAATTTTCATAGCCTTCGTGCTTTGCAGCAATTTTTGCGAGCTCCTTAACAACAGCGGAATCTTCCTGCAAAAAGCAACATTTTGAAAATTAGTTAGACAAAAAAACATAATTCTATTAAATCCATTTGTGATAACTCATGCGTTACTTTCAATAAAAACATATTTGTAATAATATATGTCATAGAATTTACGCAAGGTCACTTTGATGAAAACCACAACTTTTTAATTAAAAATTATAATAATTGCTCATTAAGATTTAGGTAAAATTCAATCTTATAACATATCTTGCAACATAATCTCTTTTCAGAATTATACACTAATTTTTGTGCTTGTCTAACAACTCGATGCCTTTTTAACGACTTGATCACAAAATACCCGTCGGTGTGCGTAGTAATCACTTCATTGGGTTCAAATATGTTTCTCTGTAGCACACAGTCCTTTTCTTCTTATTACAGTTCCGTCTTATATAGAAGGTTGGATATCAACATGGCAATTTTCACTTTATTACAGCTCTAAAAAGCTGGACCATTCAGTTAAACCATTCAGACGTGGCAACCAAGGGGCTCGTCTTCTTCTTCTTCTATCTATTTTACCTTTAATTTTACCTTCCATAATTAACTGTAGCAGTCTTTATCTTGATCCTACCATGATATTTCCAAAATATTAAGTTTTCCATTTTTAATAGTGTTGGAAAACTATAATCTCCAACCACATAATTCTATTTCATAACAAAGAAATATATTTCCGCGCATCGGTTACATAAATAAATTCCTTATGACAGTCTGCATTGACTTATTTCTTAGAATGTTAATCTCCGTCCATTTGACCTTAGACCGGCCGATCTTTCAAAATGCAAAGATGGGCAATTTCAGAACAAGGATCTACAGACCGAGAATTTGGCATCCAAATTCCACGTACTTGTAAGTTCGTATAGTCGGCTGGAGTTACAATTTGCCAAATTTAAATGTAATCGTTTCTACTCATTCATATTAATACTATAATGTATAATATATTAAAGTTTTTAATATTGGTAATATTATTAAAGCTTTTAATACTATTTTTTAATATTAATAATAATATTAAGTAATTAAATATTGCGCCTTACTTAAAAAAAGTACGAGATAAATATAACTCGTTTTTTATATCTTTACGTATGCTAAGGGTAATAAATTAAAATCCTTCAATACAAGACTAAAGGTAGGTACCTATAATTTGAATAAGCTGGTTTTGCCCATACTGACTTTCTAATTCTAATTACCTACTAATTTGCATAACAGTCAGATATTGTACCTGGTCATAATGCTGTTTTAATATTAGGATTTTCATTTCGCTTGTTGAAACTTCATCCGATATTAATTTCTTGGAAATTTTTATAAGGCTGAGAGTACTTAATCGGAATACTCGAGTATTGTTGAAAAAAACTGAAATTGAAGGTACTACACAATCGAAGAACTCAAAAAAATTAAACATTTCCGGTATTCTTTTTCCAGATCGTATTTTGTTTTCGAGATATATTTAAATTTGGGAATTTTTTTATTATTTTTCCACTTTTTTCAGGTTCTTTTTTAATTTAATTTCAGTATATAAAAGCCTTTACAATATTATCCAAATTTTATTTGGAAGTTTTAATCTTAAGTGTTCAGAAACAATTTGCTATTTAGGAAATGAAAATTGGTTTTTTTTTCTTTAGTTCTTAATTTGCTATAACATTTCTCATTTGATTTAATAAAAAATATTGTAAATTCATTTTTTTGAATAATTATAACAACGACTTACATCCGAGTAGCTTAACACAATTAAAGAAAATATAACGAATACGCTCACGACTCGGAACTGAGTCTTTTCTTCTTTTCGCATAAAATATTACAAATTTATTTAAAATACCCTTTATTTAATATATACTTTATTTATTCATCACAATTTAAAAAAAAATACTAGTCAGCACAGCGGTTGATTTCCATGAAAATACGCTAAGCAGTGATAATGATTGCATGTACCTAATTAATATTTTTGTCTTTTGGTTGGTGTTATATTGGAAATTTCCCCTCTCAAGGCATTTGCAAGAGAATTGCACTTTCATGTAAAAAACGAGTTATTTATCTAGTACTTTTTTTTAAGCAAGGCGCAATATTTAATTACTTAATATTAATATTAATATTAAAAAATAGTATTAAAAGCTTTAATAATATTACCAATATTAAAAACTTTAATATATTATACATTATAATATTAATATGAATGAGTAGAAACGATTACATTTAAATTTGGCAAATTGTAACTGCAGCCGACTATACGAACTTACAAGTACGATTGCGCGAAGCCGTGGAATTTGTATACCAAATTCTCGGTCTGTAGATCCTTGTGTAATACGAAGAGTTCGTTATGGTGTTTTCGGAAATTTCGTAAACTGTATATATTTTCTAATTAGGGGAAACGTTCCTTACGATTAGTTATTCATTAATGCTTATAATTTAAGTTTCTATTTCTTGTCCTTTTTCAAGTTTCATTAGAGCTCTAGCTAAAAAAGTGTTTTATTTTATTTTATCAACCTATTCAACAGGCCAGATTGCAGCACATTTTAAGAGTCCATTTAAGTTTCTCTATTGAGTATTCGAAGGCTAGCGGAACAATTGGACTTACAGCAAGTGCAAACCGCTGAAAGAGGCAGTGATATCATTTAAGACTCTCCCTGAAGGGATGTTGAAAACCGGCACCCCTTCAAATAGTTTGAATGACTTTCCCATTTTTATTAACTCAGCATAGGACTTCAATGCTGGTAACTCTGTCTACCCACGATATACACAGCTTTCTACTAGGCTAGGAATAGGATTTCAGGATATCAACGTAGGATTCAATATCGTAGAGCAGCGTTGTAAACAGCAGCTAAGCAGCCTTATCCTTACGCTCATCTTTATTCTGCATTATGAGTTATGAGAATTTGTTCTGCATTATGAGTTATTCATATATCCAAGTACATGTAACTGTTAACTCTTTTGATTTAAATATTATTGATACGTGATGTTTCGTTGTCTTGTGGACGTGGACGCCATATTTGTGACAGTTCCCAACTAAATTAAGTCCATTTGATTGAAAAATACGTATTTTTCGATCTGCTGGTATCTATCCCAAATAAGGTCTTTTCTTTAACATTTCCGCCTTTAAACGCTCTAATAGACCAATATATTATTTCTCCACGCTTCAAATAGTCAATGAAAATAATTCCTTGTGGGTACCAAAATACAGAAGGCGAGACCTTTCCAGCAATTTATTGCGTCTTTGGTTGCTTTTGACGACTTTATCTGGGTGCTGTCCACTCAGATGACTGCCGATTTGATTCCGGAATGAAGTGATGGATCTATGTTTCCTCCGACCGACACAAAATACCGATTTATTATGTCCAATTAAATCATTGTCAATTCATTGTTGTTTTTGCTCTAATATGAGAAAACGCGGCAACAATTTGGAAAACAGCTTTCTCATATAGAAATCTTCTTCTTCTAATGGCGCTACAAGCCTTTATGAGTCTTGGCCTACTTAATGTTCTTCCATTCTGCCTTGTCGGATACTTTCCTTCGCCACTGTCTGATGTTCATGGTTTTAAGATCTCTCTCTACGTCGTTATCCATCTTTTACGGGGCTTTCCTCTTGTTCTGTTTCCTTGGGGTTTCCATCTCTGGAATACTTTTACAGCCCGATTATCTGGCATTCTTTCTAGGTGACCAAGCCAGTTTAGTCTTTTCTCATATCGAAATATTCGTGTATAATAGTGAAAACCCTACTCTTTGATAACTTTAAAGTGTCAGCTATCTCTTGCAACTTCACTTTGCGGTTTTCCATAATAATTTTCAGTGTTTTTTTAATATTCCGGGAATAATTGGATCTTTTACAGAGCGCTTAGCATTATCGATCTCGGTACGATCGCGTTTGAATTCAGCAAACCATCATTTAATCGTTGTATTTGATCTAGCAGAGTCCCGGTAACATTTTTTGAGCAATTGCTCAGTTTGGACGGTTTTTTCCCATCAAACAACAGTGACAAATCAACACATGGAATTGCTTTGAATCCATTGTTTATAAAAGTAGAGTCCCTTCAAGCACTGTAGCTCGTAAAATAATAAGCCGAAATATATGAAATTTTGACAGTATGCTTTAGAAGCTTAGGACCACCAAAAGTCATACGAATAATTCATTAGAATCGTCATCTCATGGTTATGCCCGGGAATTATTGACCGACAAGTTATAATGGTATAAATTACTAGTCCAGTCATATTTTGTATAAAAATTATGTGCTATATCTGACAAATATTTATTATTTTGATAATCTTAAAAAAACGCAAAAAATGTCAATAAAGGTCAATAAAGGTCAATTACCGATTTTGTATTTTGTTAAGACATTCGATAATGGTAGCAAATTTAAACCTTGCGTAAATTTTGTGACACCCTTTATATGTGGATCAATCAGGCTAATCAATTTTTGTGACTAAGTCAATCATATCTGTTATTATATGAGAGAAAACAAAGCTATTTATAAAAATAGGAAATAGCTTTAAGATGGGTTTAAGGTAAATTTTATTATAAAATTAGTTACAAATATACAGGGTTTTCCATAGTTGCATCAAATATATGTTTTTTAACGAAACATCCGGTATTTTATTTTAAATTTAAAAATCTGTTCAGTTTCTTGTTACAAGAGTATAAAGTTGTTTTGTGTCATACAGGGTATTTAAAATATATATAACCAAATTTCAATGAAACTGGTAATAAGTTCAACGCCCTGTATAATCGAAAAGAGATACACAAAGCAACAATCTGTTGTTTGTCATCTGTCAACAGAACAAAATCAATCCATAAATTTTTTAGATTTATAAATTATCAGACTTAAAAACAAACATGACTTATCCATATTTCATAAACCTACCCATACTGACCCGACTATACACAATTCATCATCCCATCCAACACAACATAAACTGGCAGCCTATCATAGTATGTTACATAGATTAACAGAAATTGCGATGTCAAAATACAACTTTGAGATAGAATTAAATATCATTAAACAGATAGCAGTAAACAATGGATAGAACGAACAAACAATTAATAAAATGTTAAATGAAAAACTACACAAGAAAGCCCTGAAATTAGTATTTCCACCACCAGAGAACAAACCCAGTACCTTCTGCTCGATTACATATACAGGCAAAATATCAACAAAAATAGCCAAACACATAAAAAAGAAAGGACACCAGCTGGATCACCAGCTTACAGAACAAATAACAACTTAAGCAAATATATTAAAAACAACAAGAGCCAAAATAAAAAACACTGACCCAGTGGTGTGTACAAACTTAAATGTGGCGACTATCCAAAAACTTACATCGGTCAAACTGGTAGAAATTTAAATAAACGAATAGCAGAGCATAAAAGGACTTTCAATAATAGAGAAACAGATTCTACATACGCACTTCACCTTCTAGATCATAATCATTATTTTAATGATGAATTTAAATTCTTCACATTTAAAATAAAGGCCTTAAGCTATCTTTGTTAAAATCTATGGAAATCAACAAATTAAAAAACACAGATATAATTCTGAATGACCAACTTGAGAAAAACGGTTCTCCCCTCCTCAACCTATTTCATCAAAGACTAAACGCATGCCAAAAATAGATCACTTGAGAAAGGCAATCAGCCGAAACAGCTGTAGTGATAAGAATTTAAAATAAATTTTGTGGAAGTTTGAAAACAAAGTTTTCAGTGTTTTATTGTTACATAAAATGAATTTCCATCAAGTAACGGTCGAATCCATCAATTATTTATGAATTATTATTTTTATTTACTTTATTATTTACAAATATCTTAAAGCAACATATAAAAAAAATAGAGATTGATATTTTCATAGGTGTTAGAAATGAGCTCCCACAACGTCAACACAGACTTGAAGAAGGTTTTCAACTAATCTAGTTATGTTTGAAGACCCTGTGTATTTACATAATCATTCTGAATTTATAGCTCTGCGAGGGTCCTAGCCTGCTCAAGAATTTCTCTTCAGTCGTCCCTTCATCCATCGCCTTTCTCCACCAAGCACGTATTGCCATATTTCTCATGTTTTCATATGTTATTAAGGAACCTTGTTCTGGATCTTTCTCTTCTCTGACCAATTGGTCTATCAAGGAGCGTATTTCTAGGTGGGTTATTTTGTTCCATCCGCATTACATGTCCTATCCACCTCAAACGTCCTATCTTAATATGTTTTACGATATCTGGTTCCTGGTATATTCAATAAAATTCGAAGATGTATCATCTTCTCCACACTCCATTGTCATTCACTGTTCCATAGATTAGGACTGGGCGTATATTTATAACTAATTTTAAAATGGGAATCTTACAGCTATCTATTTTTGTAAATAACTTTTCTTGGTATATTATATAATAAATATAACGGACTTTGTCACAAAAGTTAATTAATCACTGCGTAGAATAAATTTATACCTTTAAATTTATTGCTGTATGATCAATTGGAATCAATTACAAGTTATGCAACAAATAAATTATTTCGTATTTAAAACAATGTTTAATATATTTATAAAATTACCCCATGCAAATAATTCTTACAATTAACTGTTGGATTCCGCTTAAAACATTGAAATTTATGAAATTTACATCAGGCGAGAAACTTATTAGATTACACAATGTTTTTGTGAACCTTCGAATCTACCTAATAAAAACTAAACCCTTGCATGTGTATCTTTCTTGCACCTTCCTTCCAATATACTGTAATAGAACCTAAAAGGTTCACAAGTACAGTTAATACATTTTTACAAGTAATCATCTATCTACCTATATATCTATCTCTTTCAGACAGAATTTATGAGTTTCTCCAATTTTGTTTTAGTTGGACACTCCTACACGCACGATAGCGAGAAAAAATTTAAATTTTGTCTCGAAATGCTTGAAAATATTAGTTAATTGACGTTAAAATGTTTAAACAATTTTAATAAGGGATGGTTTTCAATTAAAAAGGGGTCACACTGTAAATAAAAAAAAATTGTACAAGTATTTCCATTTCGTATTTTTTAGTGGTATAAAAAACTAAAATTTAATGTTAAACCCTCCTTATTGCTTTGAAGATTTTATAAAATATAAGAGTTGCATGCAAAGAAAATATGTATTCTTCCATATCCCATGCTTTCCTATTTTCATAGTGATATTCTTATGAATAAAAACCCAGATTGTGAATGTTTCTAAAATGGTTCCAACATGCAGTGATTTTACCTATTTTACAATTAGCCATAATATATTCTATGCATTGTGTTACTTGTAATTGGAGGATAACACTGTATTAAGATTGTACAGCTTGGTCGTAAACAGATGAAGTCTAACTCAAGGAACCAAATTCACACAATAATACATATAGTAGTACATATTTTATATTGTATAGGTGTCAAAAAAACTAATGAGTAAACTGAACAGGTTGTTTTTAAAAGTTCGGTATTATACTGAACTCATGCTCAAGGCAACATGTAATGAAACTATTCTAGCCAAACACATAGACGCACACATAGACGCACACATATGACTTAAAACATGGTCAAATATCGGTCAAACTTCTCAGCTACTCAAGTCTAGGATCAATCTCCATAAAAGTGATTCAGGATTTCATCCAGAACATTTTGAATTAGACCTCCTGGAAAACCTGAGCAACCTTGCTGGAGATTGGGTAACCAACCCCAATGGAAGGCAGGGTCAGGGCTGACGAGGAGGTCCTCCGAAAAGGGGGTTGGTGAGCAAGGTTAGCAGCCTACTTACTGTCAAAAAAATCAATGCTCATAGAACCGAACAGAAGACTCGTAATTGAACGGACACACAGATGACGAACCACGCAAGAAAATTGGAGTTGTGCAGAAATTGGAGCTCCATAAAATTGATATATGTGCCCTGAACGAAACAAAAAAGAAAGGGAAAGGAAGTGTCAATATAAACAAATTTATATTCCTGTACATCGGAGTATATAAAAGCAAACGAGCTCAGGCAGGAGTAGGCCTCTTAATGCACAATAAATATAATAACAATATCCAAGAAATAAGATACATCAACGAACACATGATGCTGGTTTGCCTTAAACTTCACCAGATGATACTTAATATTATTTCCGTATATGCACCGGATAACAACAAAAACAAGGAAGACAAAGATGCTTTTATGGACTTAGTGTGGTCGCCCCTATGTGCAGAGCCAAAATGGTTTTCGCTATCTGTTGCCTTAAGCATGTATTTAGTATAATAAAAACCTTAAAAATCAACGACATGTTCAATTTTCTCATTAAGTTTTTTTAATAATTTAAGAATTTGACATCTTCTAAATAAAATTTATGGTATGCATTTGATTCCTTGAGTTATACCTCATCTGAATACGACGAAACAGTATATTCTTAGTACAGTGGTTGAATTGGGTTTTTTTCCTTTTCAACAACAAGAGATTTGCTTTTTACATATCCTTTTTGATATATTTCTTTAGTGAAGACATAAACTCTACCATTCTGCGTATCGATAATACAACTTACATTGTATACAATAGAATATATTATGGCTAATTGATATTTTATTTCTTTATACAGTTCTTCAGAACTGTATAAACACTCACGAAAACGTTAGACCGTATAATTGAGATTTTTATTGCAGATTTAAAACTTTACTTTCTAAAAGATTAACCTTCCTTTCTTGTATATAGTAAAAATAGATAAGTAAATAAAAAGAAAATATAAAATTCATCATTTAAAGTTGACATTTCAAATCAGAAGCGTGGTTTAAATTTATAATTAGGGGAAAGTGGGATAATCCTGCGCAGCAGCTAACAATGCGCAGAATAATATCAGTACAAAATGTCAATTAATTAAAGCTTGTTTAGCAGTAAATGCTTAACTTCAATTAGTATAGACTATAGACATCCTGGGTTAACCGATAATAGTACATAAGGCCCGGTTTCAGGTAACAATGGTTTACCTGAGGTACAAGGTCTTAAAAGTGGGCCAAGTCAGATAAACTTAATAATATTTACGTGCGCACTAATTGAAGTCAACCATTTTCTGCTAAACAAACTTTACCTTTAATACTGTTTATTCTGCCACAACACTGTATTATAACAGATTTTAACAGATTTCTACTTGCGAACAATTACCCTTTATAACCGAGTGCATAATAAGTTTTTATCTAATTTGTTTCTACGATCAGAATATATTTTTGGTAATAGTTGATTGATTTGTTAATGTGTTTACAAATTCACCTGCTTCTCCCTAATATATCCCCTAATAAATACTCTGTATAGATTATATATTTTAATATCATTTAGATACTATATTTTGAGTACCTACAGCTTCTGATTTGAAAATTAGAATGTATTTTCCTATCTATGGTAGTATTTTCATAAGATATTTCGCAGATGAACACCTTTTAGCTTCTCCTTGGCGACCATGCAACATGCTATTGAAATTATGAAAATTTTTCATTTAAACAAAGCTACACCAGTCAAATCATTCATTGAATAATCCCAGATGTTGCGCATTTAGCATCCATAGTACCGTTGTATTAAAGTTACCTCAGCCGATAAAGATCTCTTATGTCTGTTCGAATGCTTATGTTTATGCTGCTTTCTGTTCTCTTCCGAACTGGAGGAATCGGAAGAACTGCTTGAATCGGAAGAACTGTCTGAATCGGAACTTGCATCGTTATTGTGCTTCGAGTGATGCCCACCTTTTGTCGGGGCATGCTTACCTTTTACTTGAGGTTCTTAAAATAAATTAGGATCCGTTAATACTTGGACGTACATATTATTATTTTGTACCTTATTTTGAAGTGTTCTATCAATTATTCTAGGTAGGTATTAAGAGAAAAGATGGAAAATTGCATTCGATAAGATTTAAACCGACGAAAAGTAATATGCAATAGAAAAACCAAAAAATCAATAAAATCAAATAATTAAATATTGTTTAGCGAATGACAATAAAACAGAGGATTTGACAATAATACAGATGAAGGTAGATTTTATAAAGGGAGTAAGAGCATCAAAAGAATATAATGATAAATTTAAAAAATATATTACTTTCTATACAGGTTGTATAATAAACAATGAACTGTATCTTCAAAAACAATCATAATGATTTTTGTTTTAACAACAATAGATCTTAGCTCGTTGATTCTTTAGCTGTTTGTCTGTTTTGGATATGGGCTATCACCAAGGCCAGTCTTACCATTCACCGCAGTCTTAGGTTGTGTTCTAGGTTTTAGATAATTTTTATAAAAACTTTTTTATTTTTAGTTTTATGAAAAAAAATTAATCTTTATAAAAAGGTTTGAATGAGGCAGCCAAGTTAGAAAAGGAGTATATTAACTTGGGAAAGAATCACTACAGGAGCAATGCAACCAATTTGTGGCATTACAATTAGAAGACCCTAATGGTTTCCAGGGCAACAACTTGGCTGCACCGTACTGAAGACGACCAATAGTCAGAAATACGTATATATATATATAATATATATATATATATATATTATATATATATATATATATATATATATATATATATACGGTTGCCTTCCATCCATATACCATTTTTGGTTTTTCGTTTTGCGAGACGTGCCATTACTTTTTACTTTTATTATTCACTCGCATTATCCTTTTCTATATATATATATATATATATATATATATATATATATATATATATATATTATATATATATAATATATATAATATATATATATATATATATATACATCCTACTATCATTTTGGCATCGATACATTATGCTTTTACCATCAATTTAGCATCGTCTTGCAAAGTAGCATCTGTATATCGACGCTACTTTACAACACCTTAATAACTTTTTTCCTGTACTTGTTACAAGAATTTTAACCATCTCACTGATTAGAGATTTGATACCGTGTTGGTATTTTAAAATATCGGCTTTCTCTTTTTATCCCTTACTGAGTTATATAAGTTTATTCCAAAAAATATTTGAGTCTAAAATGATGGTACGGTGAAAATATTATATATATTTAGTTCAGGGTTTTACCGTTTACTCGATGTCATTATATACATAAAAATGTATATCCCACTTTCATTATCAATCATTTTAGCATCAGAAATTTGGCATCACTGTTGAATATAATATTACCCACAACGAAATAGTAAATTTAAGAATATATATTTTTTTTCATCCATAAATCATTCTGGCATCATGTTTTGTTAAAAGTAACGGGTTATGATATATTGTACCTACCTATTGTATCTTCGCTCCAATTGGTCCAGTCGTGACGTACAGTACCTCAAATGATAGTATTAAACCAATAAAATATAATAAGATAGAAAAATAAAATACAGCAGCATGTCAAAAAGGCCTTAGTTGTATATCTTCGTTTCTATAAGTCCAATCGTGACGTACAGTATCTTAAATGATAGGATTTAACCAATCAAAAACAATGAAATAGAAAAATCAGATACAGCAACATGCCAAAAGGGCCTTAGTTGTGTATCTTCGGGTCTATCAATCTAATCATGACGTGCAGTACCTCAAATGAAAGGGTTTAGCTAATAAAATACAATAAGGTATAAAAATTAAATAGAGTAGCATGTCAAAAGGGCCTTAGTTATGTATCTTCGGTGCTATTAGTCCAATCGTCACGTACGATACCTTAAATGATAGCACTTAACTAATAGAATACAATGACTTAGAAATCAAATACAGCAACACGTCAAAAGGGCACTATTTACGTATCTTCGTTTGTAGTGGCACAATCGTGACGTACAGTACCTCAAATGATAGGATTTAACCAATCAAATACTATGAGACAGAAAAATAAAATACAGCATACATCAGCCTGTCAAAAGGGCCTGAGTTATGTATCCGCAGTCCTATTAGTCCAATCGTGAAAGGGCCTAGTTATGTATCTTCGATCCTATTAGTCCAATCGTGACATACAGTACCTCAAATGATATCATTTAACCAATAGAATGCTACGACGTAGATCAAATACAGCAACACGTCAAAAGGACCTTAGGTATATATATATTTGCTCCTATATATACTATGTCAAAAGAGCCTTAATTATGTATCTCCTGTCCTATAGGTCTAATCATGGCATATGGAGTATAAAATGATAGGATTTATTGGAGATAATACGATGGTGGAGACAAAGTAAACATGGCGGCATGTAATAACACGGTAAACTGGCAGCAATAAAATGTAATAACCCACAGAGGTCTATGGCATATTACGTGACAGAATTTAGCGAATAGCATATGATTTGCATACGTCTACTTTTAGTCAACTTCTGTACATATGATAAACGCGAAAAAGTTCCAACATTCACTGTTAGACATATGCCTTCCGTTCACTGCACACATTTACTGCTCCTTGACGCTGTGACGTAAATGGGATAGGATTTAACAAATAGAATGACAGAAAATTAAATAAGACAGTGCGTCAAACGTGGAATGCATCGTAGAATGTGAAATATATAAAATATATAATATACATATAAGAATATGAAATAATACACCAATTAAGAAAGATGATGTTAGTTGAGGAAGATTAGACCAGGAAAAAATGTCAACATTTTTAGAATACTTAGCTAGTATTTTTAAAAAATACCAACCAGATAATAATAATCAAGCAATAGAACACTGAAAACTTTTGTTTTTAACTGTACGCCCATGAATAGCCATTTTTAAATACTACTTGATATTGTTTTTTTTTTATTGTATTTTTCCCATTTTTCAAGATAATTCTTGTAGGGATATATTTATTTATAACATACGGTCTTATGGTCCTACGAACAGTATTACGGCTTTAATTTGTACGACACTGCTAATTGAGAACTATGTTTGTAATGCAATAAGAGGTCCTGATATACGAGACACCAGTGACTCATGCCCCACTGATACAAATCCGACAGGAATCTGCATTTCTATAAAAACAATAGATTATTTGTTTTGTGTATTAATTAAGTTTAGGTAAACGAACAAGACTTGCATTATAAAAGATTTTTCTAAATGTAGAATGTAAACCATATTTCGTATGCTTTGTGAAAGAGAACCAGTTTATAATATTCCGGACGACGTAAAAACATCTTTTTATTAGAATATTGGTCGATGAATTATAATCATAGTTTAAAAAATGAATTTATGTGCATATGGTCTACTACAAAAAATGTAAAACCAAAATCTTGATTAAAAAAGTGGCAACCGGTTACTTATAATGAAATTTCCCTGCATTATTGATTTCACAAGTGAAAAAATGGGTCAACAAAGAACCAGTTTTAATTATAACAATATTTCAACATAATAGTTTTATCTTATTTTACTCAGGTGAAAAGAAAAATTATACAAAAGTGCTAAAACCACAAGCTATTCTCGATTAAGCTGAAAAATTAATTTTTAATTAAATTAATTTCAAGCTGAAAAAGAGTGTTGATTTTATTAATCAAATTGCTTCTTACCAGAACCCAATATCCAAAATTCTGAAGTGGTACCGGAAAGTGGCAGTGAAATTAATATTTAATACCGCAGTAGCCAATGCTTAGTTGTTAAATAATAGAAAAGGCGAAAAAGCGACAACCTATCATTGAGTTCAGACTGGTGTTCGCGAAGACATTTGCAAATAAAGAAATGTTGGAACGCTCACGACCAGTTACACCCAAAAAATACCATCTCTGGCAAAGCGACGTAGGTAATAAAAAGAGAAGAAAGTGTACAAGATATTACAAAAGTTTAAGAAGAAACATGACTAGTAGAAAGACCGATAGAAAAGTTAAAATGGTTAAAACATACTGTGGAGCATGTGATGGTAAAACTGAAATATGTCTAGTGTGCTTCAATAAAGCACATTAAAATAGAATTTCACTTATACAGGAACTATTATTACGTAAAAACGTATTGTTCCTGAAGTGCCCTTATAGTATTGAAAATCGTAAATTAATATTTTCTATTAGTATGTTTTTATTGTTAATTACCTCTGTAAAAGTGAGTTATAAAATTATTTTTGTAAATTGTATTAAATTTGTAAAAAAAAATGGATGTAAATAATATGCCTTCGACATGCAAAAAAGCTAGATGTGAACATAAACGTAGATTGACCACTGATAACTTCTATAATAGTGTTGACTTGACTAGACAATTACTCATAGTCCATATTAAGAAATAACCGAATAGACAATCTCTACTTGTCAAAAACAACATGAAATGGTCAGTATTTACAGTCCTGAAGAAATATGTGTGACCAAATGCAGAGATAAACGAGATGTATACATGATATATTCAGAATTTCGTTGTCAGAGGTTTAGAACTAGATCAAGAAGAGGATTGGTATTTAAGAAAGTTAATTGATCAATATAATAAATATAAATGTGGTATACACTTACGTGAACAAATGCTGAGCTACTATTCATGTAAACATATAACATATTTCTTATATAACAGTGGATATCAAAAGAAGATTTTCCTTTGCGATTTTAAACTTTCGGTCAATGAGAGTCTTTAAGGGCCAAATTCCAAGTATCTACCTATTAAAAAACTGGTAGTCCACCATTTATATTAAAATTTTCCAAAAACTGTTTTACGAAAAACTAGTTGCTGCAAATTGGTGTGTAAAGGGGTAGTGAAGCGCAATACATGATGTCGTATCCTGTTGGCATCACTTAGCCTCTCCTACTCAATTCCTATCTTCACCTCCAAGCTGGTACACACCAGTAACCTGAGCAACCTCACTGGAGACTGGGTAACCAACCCCAGTGGATGGTGGGGTCAGGGCAGACGAAGAAGGGAGCCTTGGTCCTCCGATGAAGAGGAGGTTGAGCGAAGGGTTAACAACCCTTCCTTGTAGAACTCAATTGTTGCGAATACAATGGCTAATGAAACAAACGGACGGATCTCACAACGACGAACTCAGCTCAGAAAAATGGACATGATTATTGATTTAAAATTTGGAACGTGTGAACCTTCTTAAAGGCAGGAGCTATGATAAGTATGGCAGAAGAACTTTAAAAATACGGGGTTGAAATATTGGCACTGCAGGAAATCAGATGGAAGAACCAGGGAGAAATTCATAAGAATAAATTCTCACTATACTACTTCGGAAATGAAATGAGACAAGGTGAAAGAGGAGTCGGGTTTATGGTAACCAAAAAACTGCGAAAAGCCATTATCGCATTTACACCAGAATCAGATAGAATTTGCACCATAAGATTTAAAGGTAAATTTCATAACGTGACAATGGTTAATGTATATGCACCGACGGAAGACGCTGATGAAGAAGACGTTGAAAGATTCTACGGAGAACTACAGGATGTATGTGATAAAATCCAAAGACACGATGCTGTTATAACGTTAGGCGATTTTAATGCTAAACCGGGGAAAGAAGAAACGTTTGCAAATATATTTGGGAAACACAGTTTGCACACTGAAACCAGTCAAAATGGACTCAGGGTGGCACAGTTCGCAGCAGCAAATAATTACGTAGTTGTCAGTACTAACTTCCAGAGAAAAGATATCCATAAAGCAACATGGAAAAAAGCAAATCAAATTGACCATATACTTATCTTAAAAAGATGGGCAACAGACATAACTAATGTTATTCAAATTAAAAACTGGAATGTAGAAGGATTCAAAAGCGCAACAAAGAGACAAGATTACAGAAATGCTCTCCAAATAAAACTCAACCGAACTAGAGAGGAAGATACTGCAGAGGAGGGATAAAGACAATTAAAAACAATTATAACGGAGTCAGCAGAGGAAACTGTCGGAAAAGCCAAAAGGCAAAGAAATGCGGAATAGTATGATGATGAATGCAGAACTGCATTCTAGAGGAAAAAAGGCAAGCTAGGCTTAACCAACTTCAAAGAAACACAAGAAATAGCGGTGAGATTTATAACGAAAAAAGAACACAAGCGACTAGAATATTCAGAAGAAAGAAAAAAGAGGCTATGAAAAAGCAAGTACAAGAAATCGTAAAGCATAACAAGAGACGCGAAAGCAGAAAATTCTATAAATCCATAAAAGAAAGCACACAGTCACTTAGACCAAAACTAACGATATACAAAGACAAGGACGGAGAACTACTAACAGAGAAGCAAAAAATTATAATGACATGGAAACAATATTTCTAAGAAAATCTAAATGCAGACAACGAAAATGATCAGAACGAGACAATATATTAGACGGAGCTGCATATCGAAAATCCGAGTTATGAAGAAGTAGTTCAGATAATAAATAAACTAAAAAACAAAAAAGCACCAGGAACGGACGGAATTTCGGCAGAATTATTAAAGCATGGAGGATCCGAACTCTGGAAAAAAATCCATTACCTAATAACATTAATATGGACGAAGGAGCAAATGCCAAAGGAATGGACAGTTGGCCTCATACAGCCAATATATAAAAAAGGAGATAAGAGAGAATGCCAGAATTATAGGCCAATTACATTGCTAAATGTAATATACAAAATTCTTTCTGGTATAATCTACAATAGATTGTTAGAATACTCCGAAAATATAATTGGTGATTATCAAAATGGATTCAGACCAAATAGAGCCACTACAGATAATATATTCATACTAAGAACGATACAAGAAAAAGCTTATGAATACGACATAGACCTATATAATATGTATATAGACTTTAAACAAGCTTTTGATAGTGTGAAAAGAGACAGAATGCTGGAAGACCTTTGTAATCTAGGTATACCTAAGAAATACATCAGCCTCATAAAAATGACGTTGCAGGGTTCAAAAGCCGCAGTCAGAGTAGATGGAGAACTGACTTCCCTGTTTAACATCAACATAGGAGTAAGACAGGGAGATGCCCTATCAACCATGCTATTCAACCTAGTTCTTGAGGCAGTCATCAGAAAAACCAATATAACCGGCCATATAAACACCAAATCATTACAAATTACTGCATATGCAGACTATGTAGCTATCATTAGTAGGAATAAGCCACGACTAATGGAAGTGTTCAAACAAATTGATCCTGAAGCAAGAAAAAGAGGTCTCAAAATAAACGAAACAAAACCGAAGTATATGACAGTCAAAAGAATAACTGACAATGAAAATAATATCACAATAGACAACTATACTATCGAATGAGTGGATGCCTTTACATATCTCGGCACAGAAATCAATCAGAAGAACTCCGTAAGTAGCGAAATTAATGCACGTATTTCCAGCGGGAATCGTACATACTATGCTAATAAAAGATTGATGACATTGAAATTATTAGACAAAATAACCAAAATGACTATCTACAGAACACTGATTAGACCCGTAGTAACCTATGGATGTGAAACTTGGGTAATGACGAAAAAAGATGAAGCCCAACTCAGGACATTCGAGAGAAAAATACTGAGGAAAGTATATGGCCCGGTACAAGAGGAAGATGGCACATGGAGAATCAGGAGAAACGTCGAGGTTAATGAGTTAAATGAAGGTTATGACATTGTAAGATTTGTGAAAAGTCAAAGACTGTCATGGCTGGGATATGTGCAGAGACAAAACGATGCAAAAACAACAAAGAAAATGGTACAATGGAAGCCTATAGGAAGGCGAAAAAAGGAAGGCCCAGAACGAGATGGTTGGATGACGTGGAAGACGACCTAAAAACAATAAACATGAGACAATGGAGAAGAAGGGCACAAGAGAGATCTGAATGGAAGGACATAGCCAGATAGGCAAAGACCCATTCAGGGCTATGATGCCAAAAGAAGAAGAAGAAGAAGGTGCAGCAAATTAGTATCAGTTATTCATTCTAATGTAAAAAGTTTTTTATTATTTTTTTTTATTTTTCTTTAAGTATTTTTAACTTTTAAAGCAACATTTCCACAAATTTTATTATAGTAAATCAAAAAGTATACATTTACATAGTTATTTATTATTTTAATAGAAAACAAATAAACATGAACAGTGCACTGGTAGCATAAACAATATATTTTAAATTTAATTTAAAACAAAAAAAATTATATTAAACATAAACAAACAAAATTTAACCAAAAATTAATACTAATTTTAAAAAACTAACTGGCACCGTCTGTACATGAACATATTTTATTGGAGACGAACGTTTTTCTCGTATTTGTCAATTTTACCATAATAATACAAATATTACTTATCGCTGCCAGCGGCAAAATTCGTTTCGATCGTTCATTCATAATTTTTCACAATTCTCTGGGAAAAATTACCTGCTAAATTAAATATGCAACTAAACCATAATAATAAATCCGAGAACCCTAAACCGGTCGGGGCGGCCGGTAAGGTTGTAGACCTATCGGTCTGTGAACGAAAACGGATCAATATATCTATCCATGTTTCAAATAAATATATATATTTTGGCAACATCTCGTGATACTGTATTGACGCAAGACACAATGATTTGACCTATAGGGAGTTAAAATGTCTGTTGAGTGTAAAAAAATAAATATATAAAAAAATCGAAAAATTTAAACACTGACAACGGTGTCAAGCCTAAAAAGATACACTAAACGAATATACATGACTTATAATTTGAATGTGATAGTATTTCTTGGTGATGCTAAATTACTGCAACGTGAAAAGACTTCAAAATGATGGTGGGATGTATATATATATATATATAAATATTTATATACATAAATATATATATATATATATATATATATATATATATATATATATATATATATAGCATAGAAAGCATAATATCGTCTATGGATTATAGAAAGTTATGCTTCCCTCCTCGGTCACTCCCGTAGTGCCACATCCTGTTTTTATACTATTGATTTTTGAAGATACAATTTGGTTCATTCTTTATTACTTACTCTGTATAAAAATCGATATAGCAATACTTAGATACTCTCCAATTATGATTGATAAGAAACTCAACCAGAACGTCATTTGTAAATTCTAACTCTATTAATATGAACGGTGTTTATTATTTTGATTGCTAGTTCTCTTCTCAAAAACCATTCTCAAAAAGTAGGTAAACCATGTCAAAGAAACGTACAAGCTGGAAAATCACTTAGAAATGTTCAGTTAATACAAATATTGAAAATCACTTGAAAGCATTTGACTCAGCTCCAGTAATAGAAACACCCGAAAATTTCACAACACTTCACTAACGAACATGAGTTCAGCGAGAAATCTTCCAATAAACAAAAAAATCGAACATTGAAAAAAAAAACTTAAATGAATAACCAGATGACATAAAATAGGTATTTAGGATCGTAGTGTGTTAAATTTAGATGTTTCTTTCTATATTACCTCTACTATCATCATCACTATCTTTCTTGTGTTTCTTATGTTTGTGTTTATGATCATGATTGTGATGTTTGTCCTTTTTGTGTTTATGTTTGTGATCATCGCTATCACTGTCACTATCATCGTTATCTTTGTGATGGTGCTTCTTCTTGTGATGCTTCTTGTGTTTCTTGTGCTTCTTGTGGGCCTTACTGCAAAAAATTGTTTTTAGGAAAGATTACTTTAGATATTTATCGATGGACGATGTGTTTTTCATAGATTCATAAAAACAGAAATCAGAGAGAATTTCTGGATCATAAAGGTTTAATCTAAGCTGTTAATATTAATAAAGGGGGGATAAGAGGCTTAAAATTAGATCAAACGATGCACAAGTTAATGACACTTTCTTATTTGGTAATCCAAACCCTAGTACTTCTGGCCAAATTGAAAGAAAATGACTAACTACTTTTGATTTTTATGCCCAATATAGCAAAAATTGCAAAATTACAGATATTGAAAGAGATGTGTTTCACGGATTTTAGGGGAATAAAGAATTAAAGTATAAAACCTAATCAAAACAAAATTATACAAAAGAAATAATGTAAGCACTTATAGTACAAGACTCACAAATAATGACGGAACAATTAGGGAATTAGAAGAAGGGATATCGAAGATAAAACGGGGTATATTGGACCTTACATGATTCTAAAAATGAAAGAACTAAAATTAGAAATAAGCAAAATGAATACGAAACAAGAATAGGTTATTTGGTTAGGAATACGACTCTGGAAGAGGGAAATCTATTTGCGATACAGTTGTTCTTTAACGAAAAAACAGAGGAAGCTAATCATTGATTCGTCCTGAAGGTCGAGTACATATCGAATTAGACTAAAACATATACAAATATTTTATGAAAATCAAGATAACCATCAAGAAAGAAGAGAAAAAATGAAATGAGGAGAACAAGTAGAGTTTAATAAAAATATCAAGAAAAACAAGATAAAAGAAAGAAACAAAAATATCATATAAAGGGCACAATGTAAGAGCAGGTTAAGTTTTTACCACCAAAACTGAAAATAATAAATTCCCTTAAAGAATCAATGAAAAAGAAAAATATGGCATAGATGAAATAGTAGAAATAACACTATTAACAATATTATATAAAAAGAATGACCACGATCAACCACGAAGAAGTTCTTCAAAAAATGTTTAGCTACAACCAAAGATTACAAAATTAGAAATACAAAAAGCAGTCTAGAAGTAAAAAAAACACCATATTTAGGAAACATACTTAATTTAATAATTTTTGTTCTCCATCTGTTATCTTTTCATCAGGAAATACGTCCTGCTCCCACTACAGTTTTGGGACTGTTTCTCTTTCATTTGTCTCATAATATACACATGTCTTAAAGTAGGAAAATAGTCTAGTCATCTTTATTTTTTTACCAGAACTTGTTAAAACTTAAAGATTCCACCAGCCAAACAAAAGTGAAGTGGAAATTCTCTGGACATATTCATCAACATTGAGGCTATTTATTCTTGGTGGAATGTTTGTCGCTCTTATTTAGAGCTCCTTAAATCGTCTTCTTGTGTATTGATAAAGTTGTATGATTTTGACAATTTTATTACTCATTTCCATCTGTGCATATGTTCCTCAAAGCCTGGTAAACCCGTTTCTCCCTAGGTCTTCCCGTCAGTCTTTCAGTTTCTGGCTGCCATATGATGAACTTCCTAACTAATCTTAAAGTCGTTTTTCTGTCTCTATGGTTCCCAGACATCCCAGTCTATCCGCTTTAATAAATCTAAGTATATGTTGCCTTTTCATTATGTCTCTTATATTTCATCATTCTTCTTCTCATTTCTCCATTTTCTGTTCTTATCGGGCCCATAATTATTGTTAGAATTTTCCTCTCAAATATTCTCAATCTTTCTTCATCTTTATCCATGAACCACTTTGGAAATCGTTCTCAAAATACAAAACATTAATACAATAAAAAATAAATTTTGATTTTTGTTGTGGATGTGGATCGCAGATGTAGTGGAATTTGCTCGTTAGGAATTTCATCTGGGCCATGTGTTTTTTCTGTTTAATTTTTTAATGATACGTTCATACTCAACATATGTTGTTATCTTTATTGCATGATTTCTCTTGTCTCCTGTTGTGCATTCTGTCTATTCGGGCTTTCTTTCATCTACGTTATATTCAGTGTGTTTCCCATGATCTATTCTCAATTTCAACCACTGGTCTGCATTTTATTTGTTGAGCTTTCAGATATCCAATCAGCAAAACTGAAGTGGAAATTATGTGGACATATTATTAGACAACAAGATGAAAGTTGGAATAATATTACAAATTGGAGACCATATTAACGAAGGAGAGACATTACATATTATATAAGTAGATGACTCAAAAATCATGCCGTTCGGAACAGATGAACATGGCTCGAAAAAGAGAAATGCAAGAGCGAAAGGCAGATATGTCTCCAAAATGGACAACTAAGGAAATAAAATATGTAACAATTGATATGAAAGCAAAAACAATAAATATGATGTTGTACAACCAGTACTAAACATGACCCAGCGATGCGAATCAGAAAAAATTGCTGAGTATATCATTCTTGAATATTACAAGAAAAGTGAAGGAAAAATATAATTATAAGGCACATAAATATGACCTAATACGAGGAAAATTATAGGAACAATATCAATAAAACGCAAAAAGACAATTTCCAAACAGCATTCTTTTCTAAACTGAACTGAAATGGAAACTAATGAAGAATGTAAAACTGGTACCTACCTATCACTATCTGATGAATCTGAGGAATCACTACTCTTTGAGGAATCACTACTATCTGAGGAGTCACTACTATCTGAAGAATCACTACTATCTGAAGAATCACTACTACTTGAGGAATCGCTATCTGCTTTATTTCTTCTAAGGACCGAATGTTCATCATCGTCAATTTCTTGTTGTTCTTGTTGATCTTGGTCATTTGATGGTCGCTGTACGTCGCTGATCTCTACTACCTCGATGGCCCTCACCTTGCGATTTTGTAAACTAACTTCAGGAATTTCATTTAAACCAGAATATACTGGGTTGATTTTATTTTTGGACTGCTGATCTTCAGAAATTTCATTTAAACCAGAATTCACTACGTTGATTTCATATTTGGCCTGCTGGTCTTCAAAAATTTCATTTAAACCAGAATACACTGGGTTGATTTCATTTTTGGCCTGCTGGTCTTCAGAAATTTCATTTAAACCAGAATTCACTTGGTTGATTTCATTTTTGGACTGGTGGTCTTCAGAAATTTTATTTAAACCAGAATTCACTGAATGGATTACATTTTTGGACTGCTGATCTTCAGAAATTTCATTTAAACCAGAATTCACTGGGTTGATTACATTTTTGGACTGCTGCTCTTCAGAAATTTCATTGAAACCAGAATACACTACTGGGTTGATTACATTTTTGGACTGCTGGTCTTCAGAAATTTCATTTAAACCAGAATACACTACTGGGTTGATTACATATTTGGACTGCTGGTCTTCAGAAATTTCATTTAAACCAGAATACACTACTGGGTTGATTTCATTTTTGAACTGCTGGTTCTAGCGGAAAAATGTAATACCAGTCTTCAGGTTAATTTAAAAAATTACAGATATATTCAGTTAATATTATTTAAAATACAATAAGATTAGGCATGATTATTCCATCACAGCTGATACTTGTCCAACGAGATTTTGGTAAATTGTGTTTGTGTTGTAGTGTTAGTGTTTGTGAAATGTTGATGTGTTTTAGTATATTTTTAGACACTTCCACATTATTAAAATATTAACATAAAATATAATTTATTAGATTTTATTAGAATTTATAACAAACCATCAAAAAACCCTAATTAGAGTAAGTTGCGAGGTGAAAATGTTATTGCGGGTTGTAATTTTAGTCATTTCCATAGAAAAATAAAATGCGTCAAAAATATATACAATAACCGCCAAACATATAATAATAACAGCTTTTCTTTTGCTTCTATGATTTTCGTTTTTATTAATATATTTATAGTTTTATATTTGTCTGGGTCATTTTTGGCTTCTCTTCTCTCGTCCATTAGTTTCAGGATCTCATCTGTCATCCATGATTTTTTCTTAATTAATCTATCTGTCTTTCAGTGTGTATCCTTTACATTTTGCATTATTTCTGTAAATTTTTCCCATAAGAAGGAGGAAATATTGGTTTTTTAACCGTTTGACGAATAAATAAGGACTTTTGGTTAGGAATATTATGAGGTAACATTATGAGGTAAGAATATCCTAGTATTAAGATTTTTACTATCAATATTCATGTTTTAAGGTTATGTACGAAGTCAAAAAAAAATTTACATTAATGTTTCATTCTTTTTTAAGTGATAGTGATTTTATCCCCTAAAAGACTAACTATAATAATTTTTTCGTAGTTTAAATAGTTAGTAGTAGTTTAGTTGTAATTACTGAAAAATTCAGTAATACTGGATATCTTCAACATATGTTGAACATAAACTACGAGAAAATAACATCTTTAGTCTTTTACAGGGTAAAATCACTAGTAACTAAAAAAGAATACAATATTAATTTAAATATTTTTCAATTTCGTAAATAAATTCAATGATTTATCGATTTATTTTGAAATAACCCTGATAAAAACAACAAAATAGTTTAAAATACAGTAAAAAATAATTACAGTTTTAATCAAACGATAACATAACCTTAAAACATGAATATTAAGAAAAGATATCTTAATAATTTGATATTTCTACCTTACAAATTCACGAACAAAAAATAATACCAATCGCACAGAATGAATGTCAATAACCAAAAGTCCTTATTTATTCTCCAAATAATTAAAAAACGATTATTTCCAACTTCTTTGGGACAAATACACACAAAACATAAATGTTTGGAAAGGTTTTCTAACCACCGTCCGCGTCCGTTGTCACGTCAGACTTAGGTGGTCCATAAAACAGTTTCAGAACATTTTGAAATGTCAATAATTCTATAGAAATAGCTAAATTGTCAACCAACTACACTGACATTTAATATCCACAGCTTACGCTAATTAAGAGTTTTGCCAATGGTATGGTGTACCTTTTGCCAAAAATACTAAATTAATTAAATATATTGACACTGTGACCAAAATACGTGGTCTAAGTGAAATGTGTCAATTAAAAAAAAAGTTTTCACATTTTTATATACACATCACGGATTATAAGCATTGTGGCGTAGTAATTTACATTGCAGAGTGTTTGTCTATTATTAAAAAGGCCCAGTTAAAAGGCCCATAGTTGCTGTCACCAAAGGCACAAGGTTAACACAGCTTATATAAAATTAATCGTTTTTTAGTAAAGTCGCCTCGTATTTCAGTGAGACCGTGTAAAAATATATATTCATTTGTGTTCATAAAACGTAAATATTTGATCATACTGTTTACTTGTATGGGATAATTGTGTACTGTTACACTTAAAATCAAATGTTTGCAAAATAATAACTTTTATTTAATTTAAAATTAGATATCGACGCTACTGTTCAGTAGAATATCATAATAGTCACTCTTACACTGTTGCCAATTTGCTAGTATCTTACTCGCTCTTGTTCCCGTAAATTTTCCAACGAAATTACGTGCCTACTATACTCACTTAAATCCCGAGCTGACCATGCAGATGGCTTCGATAATATTAAATACACATGATTAACAAAGTGAATACTTTCTCATGTCACCTGTCAAAATTTTGGATCGATCGCAACATTAGTTTAGAAATTAAATTGATTTAAGTAATATAATTTTTGCAATTTTCAAAACAATGGACAAATTAAATTTCGTGTACTCTTAGTGCATTAGCTACATGAATTTGAAATAACGCTAGGGCAAAGGTGTATTTGTCAAAGTTATAAGATGAGCTTATTTAAGTAATAAGATAATCGTATATGCCTGACTAGGTTTAAAAAAATCAGTAAAATAGTGGTTAATCCGTGAAATTATTTCAAAATATGAAGAACTTTATGGTTTTCGCAATTTTTTGAGACATTTTTGTCTTACTGGTCTATTAGTAGTTTTGACAGTATTGTTATTATTATTTAGATAACTACAATAATTAGAGACTAGTTTATTAGAGAAACAAAATATGAAGTGCTAAGTGCTAATTTGTGTTTATGTGTGGATTCTTAATAACAATTACCAATCTGGACAAATGTTTGACTAATGATGGTGTCTTTATAAAATGAAAGAGTCGAAATATGAGAGGTATTAATATTAACTTTACAAAATTAAGTTTCTGCATCGATGCACATATCGTTAATACCTTTACAACTTACGTTAAAAATATTTGTACACATTTTAGTTTTAAGGCAGGTTTATAAACGGACATAGTACATAATCATAAGTCATAAACATAACTTCAACCACAATCATAATTCATAAGATTTAAGATTGGTTTATAACTAGACATAATACATAACCATAATATTTAAGAACTACTTCAGAAAATACAAACCTAACCAAATTTTTATAGAGCATGAAGAATTTTTTTCTGGTCTTTAGATTCATAGAAAAGTGAAATAAATAAATATGTGGTTGAATTCGCTCCAAAAACATTAAATTAAAATAGTAGGGTTATGTATAGGAGGAAACTGCAGATGATTCTACCAACGCATGCGCATATTCCAACAATTCCATAATGTTTAATACTTAATTCATAAATGTTGAAAGTTACCAACTTTCAAGGTCACGTTTTAAGGACTAAATTTATGTATTATGGATGCTTTTAAATGGGTACATTTATTTATTAACTTTTAACATTATGCTTATATAATAAGATTATGGTTAAAGACTAAAATTATGTTTATGTCCGTTTATAAATCCGGCTTTAATTTAAAGCAATATACAGTCAACTGAAATAATGGCTATGGAAATTGTTTTGTAATATAAAAATTTTGTTGTTAGCTACAAATAAAAAATACTTTAGCAATTCTTCGTTATTCAAATACTACTAACCTTTACTGAATTTTCTGTATCGGACTTGGTGTCCGGAATAACTTGTGACTCCAAGTCAGACAAAAAGTCAGGTTCTAGTTGTCTACCAACTGATTCCTGTGGCGGATTTATTGGCTCTTGAAGATTAAATTCTTGTGATATTGTACAGTTATTGCTAATAATTTTTGAGATTCCCATCCATCGTTGATCCAAATATTCTATTTCACAAATACGACTGAGTTCGTTGTCTTCCCTAACGCAATTAGATGATCGAATGATTTCTACCAAAAGTGTATATTTTACACCTGCAACTACCTAAAAAGTGAAAATTTGTCACAAATCGTTGTTTCGGAAAATCTACAAAATTATATTCGGAAAGTTGAAAGATACTTAAATTACTAGATACAATAAACAAAACTAAATAATTGATAAACAGGGTACAAAATAAATCAGAATCAACAGGAATACAAGGAAATCTAACGTACGATAAGAGCAAGAATTAAAAACGCTAAGGAAAGCTGGATGAAAGAACGATGTGGAGAATTGGAATCACTTCAAGAAAAGGGAGACAGCTTTGGACTACATAAAAAGGTCAAAGAAATTTCGAGTATATACAAGAAACATCATGAGACTCGCCTGAAGAATGATCAATGCATGGATGCATGGATCAACGAAAGGATGTAGTCATAACATTTCTCGATTATGAAAAAGCGTTTGACACCATAAAACATGACGCAATGATAAAAATGCTACACAACGCTGACATTGACGAGAAAGATATAAGAGTTATCCAGAATCTCTATTGGAATCAAAAAGCACGAGTGTGACTGAACAAATCAACCAACACAGAAGAATTTGATATTTTAAGAGGAGTGCGACAAGGGTGTATTTTGTCTCCTATGCTCTTCAATCTATATGTAGAGAACATTTTTGCAGAGGCACTGGAAGGCTCTGAGTGTGGAATAAAGGTCAACGGGTTGCCGATAAATAACATTCGTTACGCCGACGACACCGCGATAATAACACACAACGAACATGATATGCAGTTAATGTTAAATAAAATAAACACCATAGGAAAAATATATGGCTTGAAGATATAGGTTCAGTTGAATAGTGTTGAATCTGATCTGTATATTACTAATATTTTCGTCTTGTCTTTATTAATTTTAAGACCAACTCAACTCCTCAACGGGGATCTAGCATTTCTTGTCTATTTGTGTAGTGTCATCAGCAAATCTTAAAATGGAGATTTTTCTACCAATCACCGATATTCCATCGACTCATCCTTCCAAAGGCATTCTGATGACATTTTGACCATCAATATTGAATAAGTCAGATGACAAAATGCATCCTTGTCTCTCTGACAAGGATGTGTTGCAAACAATGGATGCCAAAGTAACAATTTACAAGTTGGTTGCAAAACTCATTTTAACATATGGAATGGAATGTTGGCAAATGATGAAAAAAAAAGGAAACATCAAATTGGCGCAGTCGAAATGGATTCTATAAAGAACGTGTTGTATCTAGAAATTAAATATACACCAATCAAGAAATAAGCAGAAAAATAGGAAATATATAACACTGTAGATACAATAGGATTAAAATAACTTAAATGTATGTAAAATAAATAACACCTTCTTAATTTATCCCACATAATTATACTGTAAAACAATTATTACTAACCTGTCGTTGAACTTTATGGATTTTGCCTGCGGAGTACTCGCACGTATCTTCAGATGCAATATGACGTAAAGCTGCATTTAATAATTTTTTAACACTTTCAGCATCGTTATCGATATTAGTCGGACATCCGGGACATGAAATTGCACGTTGTACTGCTTCTGGTTCAGCTACATCGTCAGACTAAAAAAACGATATCAATTATCAATAATATAAATACACTAATTCCGAGATAACGGCAGACTACAAATTTATTGGGGATAAAATATGTCAAGACTAAAAACTCAAAACAATTTATTAATGTCTAAGAAATAACAAGAAATTAATTTGAAGTATATATTAAGTTACCGTATGGTATAACCTTTTTAATCTATTTTTGAATTCAGGTTAATATAAACAGCTTATTTCAGAAAGGGACCTGAGTCAGTTTTTTTGTGATTTTGTGCTAAGAATGGATTCATTCGCTATGATGGTAAACACATCGTTTGTAGTAGAAAGGGACCTGATTTATTTTATTATAATAGAGAAATCGTATGGCATACTTTTCGTTTACTACAGATAGTGCAGTCATTGAAGCGAAAAATACGGTCTTACCTCTGAATTTTTTTACTGTAAACCGATTTGCATGAAATTTTGGAATTAGGCTCATCTTACCCTTAACTTCCAAAGTGAAAATGATCTGAACTCCGCCTATTATTTTTAAGGAGTGTGAACAACCCCTTAATGGAAAAATTGACATTGAGCCATTTTATCGCTAGAAAACATGTCTAATAGTAAGTGGTGAAATTGTAAAGTGTTTTCTAACATAATTACCTCATATTAAAATCATTTTCAACCCCTTGAAAATCTTACAACCCTTGCAAACAGCCTCTAAATTGAAAAAATCACAAAAATACTTTGGTATGACATAAAAAGATGTAAGTATAGAGTAAGTAATATTTTATATTCTCTATAATAATTATCCAATTTTTAAAACCCCTTAAACCCCTGAAAACTACCCCTTGAAAAAAATTCGGAGCAATAATGATTCAATGACTGCACTACTAGAAAAGGACCTAAGTCAGTGACTGAGGTATTTTTCTGCACTAAAGTAGCAAGTTGGCAAACCTGCATTTTGTCTACTCCATCTGATATTATTGTTGTTTGAGGTTATGCTGCAGTGTGAAATACTATTGTGTACTAGGAGGAAGTTAATTATTGTTAATTAGAGGCGATATTGGTTAATTTGAAAACACTTTAATTTTTTTCAAGAATGAGTGAGAGTGACAATGACAGGCATTCACGATGCCTGAAACAGAAACGGAGAAAAGGTGTTGTTGATGTAGAACAAAATAAAAGAAATATAGTAGAAATATATAGTATTTGGTACAGAAATGTCACTTTCAATTTCGTCGTTAAGGTCTTGTATTGTTTTGCGTTGATACCAGGAGTTGGGGCAAACGTTTTTCTTTTCACCTAATATCTCATGCATTTCTTCGGCATAATCAAATGATTTACGACCCATTCCAGTTCTCTTACTGTCATCTACAATTTTTTTGTAGTTTCTTAATAAAAGTCTCCCATCTATTTTCGCAATTAGCAGGTCTTACATTTATTCTATACTTTGCTTTGATATCATAACAAATCACTTCCCACATTTTTTTTTAAATTTCTAACTTGCATAGTTCCTACATTTTTTCTAATTAGTTTATAAGAATCCAGTAATATTTTTGTATTTTCTTTGGACCAAATCAGTTTTGATTCATCATTCGGTTCTTCATTATTGAAAATCAAATACTGCTCCAATATTTCTACAAAATCAAATTGAATTTAAATCAATAACATTTTTTCTGTTTAATATTGTTACCTTCATTGTTGCTATCTTCCATTTTTACCTTTCAAAAAAACAATGACAACTAGAGATAAATATTGAAAGTTATTTAATAATATCCTACGAAAAAGATTATAAAAATAGAATAATAGCACATGTAAAATACCCAAACATTCGGCAGAATTACGAATTCATCCGACTTGATATAAAACGTTGTTCGTCGTGCTGCCAAATTTCCAACCGTTTCAAATGGTTTGATGAACAGACATACGCAGTAATTTTCAATTGCATGCAAACAGTTTGCAATTTGTTCTACGAACAAACCTATTACTTTGAATATTCTTCTGTACCTGAACAAGGCAATATTAAAACATCGGAATTTATTCGTACACTCTAGCTGATGACAATGCTGCTTACTACTATGGTAATTTCAGTGTTAGTAAAGTTGACCCACAAACCATTCAGCTTCCTCAAGCTCAAGCTTATACTTCTCGAATGCTCCTTTAAAGAAAGAAAAAATTGAGTACCTTAAGAAAGCTGTAAAGTACGTTCCCCATGAATTTGAAGATTTCTATGTATATATTATAAATTTTTCAGAGCAGAATCATTAGAATAAAAGTGTTGATAGTAACTTGTAGATGTAGTGCAAACACTCCTGACCATGGCGCAGTAGACGAAATTTGGTTTACAATAAAACCTTTCTGTCTTTACGTGAATTTTGACTGCGCCTTCGCGCAGCTCCATGGTCAGGAATGTTTGCACTATCTTTAGCAATGTTTAGTGTTTTAGCAATATATGCTGTAATGTGTTATAATGTGGAACATGAAAATAAATTTTTTAATGGAGTCAGTCTGTAATTTTATTGCAGAAAGGTACATACGTACATATTTTAACAAATTAATAAATTTTGTATAAGTGAAAAATATTATTAAATTGGATATTATTAGTTCTAATCTACTTGTACAGATGTAGTTAACTTAAGAAAAAATTATCATGGCACAAAACTAAGGATTTTCATATCCAGACAGTTTTTTGCATATTTCTCGAAAGTTAGTTAAGTGACTCGAATCCCTTTTTGAAATAAGCTATTCATATTTATTATTGATTATAAAAATTATATTACCGCTGCTACAGACGGCACAAGGTCTGTGGGCATAAGCTCCATGGGGAAGCGCTGAGATATTGTACAGTTATTGCTAACAATCGATGAGAAATTCTCCAATGTTGTTCGTTCTAGAAATTCTACTTCGCAAATACGACTTTGTTGATTTGGATCTAAAGAACAAATGGGTATTAGGCTATCTATAGGGCAATATGTTTGGCCAACTTCTACCAAAAGTATGTATTTGGCTCCTGCAACTACCTAAAAATGAAAATTTGTCAAACGTTAATGTTAAAATAAGCAAAACCATGTTCATAAAGTTAAAATATATATAAACTACTAGACTGGCTAAAGGTAAACGACCAAAGCTGAAGTATAGAACAAGTTATGTATACAGGGTGACCAAATTTTACAAAGTCCCTTTATTTGTTATTATAGGAAATACCAAAAAAAAGTTATTGACAAAAATAGCAGGTATACAATGATTTTCATTAAAAAAAGAAGAATACTCATGAATAATTTAAGTGTATATTCATTAATTTTTATTAAAAACTTTCCATTTGTAAATACTAATCTATAAACGACTATAATATTTCAAAAATAAACTTTTGTTTTTAATGGCCATTGTCGAGCATCCTGATATAGTACTTTAAGTTTTAAATTAGATATACACCCTATAAATGGCAACACTGTGCGTCGTCGACTTTCTACGAACCTGCTTCGATGAATCGTCGCCAATAAAGCGTTACAGCGTATCTTCTTCTTCTTTGGGTGCCGTGTCCGTATTCAGAGGTTGGCCGTCATCATGTTTACAATTTCCAGAAACCTTTCTCTGTCGGCTGCTGCGCGAAATAATTTTTCTACTGTGGAACCACACCATTGTCTAATATTACACAGCCATGAAAGTTTCTTTCGACCAATCCATCTCTTTCCTTTCACTTTTCCTTGTATTATAAGGCGAAGTAGATGGTATTTAGGTCCTGTTATTATATGGCCAAAGTATTCTGTTTTTCTCCTCTTTATGGTGTTTATGAGCAGACGTTCTGAATTGATCATTTGAAGAACATCTTCATTGGAAGTGTGCGAAACCCACGATATCTTTAGGATTCGTCTATAGCACCACAATTCGAATGCTTCTAACTTGTTTAGCATTATGTTTTTAACGTCCATGTCTCACAACCATACAATAGGATGGACCACACATAACATTTCAGGACCTTCTTACGAATATTCATCGACAGGTTTCTGTTGCATAAAACTGGTTTCCAGGTCATAAAAGCCTTACGTGATATTTCGATCCTGGTTATTATCTCTTCCTCAGAGTCACAATTTACATTTAACCAGCTGCCAAGGTATTTGAAATGATTTACCCTTTCGATCACTTCTCCATTAAGAGAAATCAGACCTTGATCTATATTGATCTTTCCAACTGCTATCCACTTTGTCTTTGAAATGTTGATTTTAAGGCCTCTCCGATATCTTGCTGCACTGACTAGATTTAGTAATGTTTGAAGATCTTGTAAATTTTCTGCAAGAATGGCTGTATCGTCAGCGTATCTAATATTGTTGATTACTTCTCCACCTAGTCTTACTTTCTCTTGTCTGTCATCCAAAGCCTCCCTAAAGATTTCTTCAGAGTACAGATCAAAAAGAGTGGGTGACAAAACACAACCCTGCCGTACTCCACGTTTGATGGATATTTTTTCAGTCAGACTGTCTCCAATTTGGATAGAGGCTACTCGATTGTAATATAAGTATTTCAGCAGTCTTATATCATAGTGGTCAAGTCCTGCTGCCCGTAGTCAATCGAAAAGTGTATCGTGTTGTACTCTGTCGAACGCCTTCTCGAAGTCGATAAAACAAACATAAACATTCTTTCGAAATTCACAACTTTTTTGTAATAGAACGCGCATACAGAATAGTGCCTCTCTAGTTCCTAGACCGTTTCTAAATCAAAATTGCTTATCACCCATTCTACTTTCGCATAGAAGGAATACTCGGTTTTGTATAATTCGTAGGAGTATCTTCAGTGTGTGACTCATCAAACTGATTAGTCTAAAATCGCTGCATTTGGTGGGCCTGCTTTTCTTTGGTAATGTTATAAACAGTGACTCTAACCAATCATCTGGTATTTTTCCTTCGTTGTAAATTTTGTTGAAGAAAGTGGTTAGGCAGGCAATGTTTTCCTCATCCAAAAGTTTAAGTAGTTCAGCAGGGATTTGATCTGGTCCAGGTGCTTTATTATTTTTAGCTTGCTGTATTGCTTTTTTTACTTCCGAATTCAATATACTGGGACCTTTGTCTAACTGGTTGTCACAGGCAGTATTTGGAGCATTTTCTCTAGAAGCATCGTCAAAAAGGTCAGTGATGTATCTCTCCCATTCTTTGCACTGTTGTTCGTGATCACAAATTTTTCCGTACGCGCTTTTAAGTATGTGAGCATTTTTCTGTTTTCTAATTCCGGCAGTATATTTAAGTTTCTTGTGGAGGTTGAAACTGTCATGCTTTTTTTGAAGGTCTTCTATTTCTTTACATAAATTCTCAAGCCAAAATTCTTTGGCTTGCTTAATTTTTCTTTTTATGTGTTTATTGATTTCACGGTATTCGATAATATTTGTATTTTTGTGTTGCCGTCGAACTTCCATCAGGTCTAGAATTTCTTGTGTCATCCACTCATTATTTGCCGACATGGTAGATGTTTTCAAAGACTCTTGTACGTTCTCTAAAATCGAGTTTTGAATGTCATACCAGCATTCGTTAATGGTTCTGTTTTCGTTTGGTATATTTGATATTCTGTGTATTTTACTATTTATCTGCTGTGATATGTGTTCGCGCGTTTGAGGGTTTTCCAGGGGGTCGAGATATATCTTACAAGGTTTAGTTGGCTTTGTTAATTTCTTTAATTTAATTTGTATTTTGGAGCAGAGTAAATTGTGATTTGAGTTTTTGTCAGCGCCGGGGTAAGTTTTTACATCTTTAATATTGTTCCGAAATAGGTGGTTTATTAGGATGTAGTCTATTTGATTCCGTACTATTCTGCCTTGATGTCCATCTTGAGGGGATTTCCACGTGTAAAGACGCCTTTCTGGAAGTTGAAACCAAGTATTTGTAATGGCGAAGTCATTTTCTTGGCAGAATTCTATTAGACGTTCACCTCTTTGATTTCTCTCTCCCAAGCCAAACTTTCCGGTGATGCCCTGCGTCATCTTCTGTCCAACTTTAGCGTTAAAGTCAACAATAATTATAATTGCTTCGTGTTCTTTGTTATTTTTAGCACTTCTTCTATTTGATGGTAGAATTCTTTAATATTCTGCTCATCTGCGTCAGCAGTGGGAGCATAAACTTGGATGATATTTATATTTACAGGTTTAGCATTCAGCTGTATTAAAATTACTCTGTCTGATATTGGGATGAACGTAGTGACATACTTATTAATAAGCTTTTTGATAATTATTGCTACTCCATTTCGATGCATATGGTCTTGATTTCCAGAAAAATAAACGGCGTAACCATTTTCAATGAAATTCCCTTTATTTGGCCATCTTGTTTCACTCGCCCCCATGATAGTAATGTTTAGTCTGTCCATTTCAGAGAGTAGATTTCTCAACTTACCGGCTTCATATAAGGTTATTACATTCCATGTAGCCACTTTATATGGATTCTTCATTTTCATCGTACGTCTAGAGATGTTTTGCTCACAGGGATTTCGTTGGCTACAGCGTATATCTTTATTTATTTTTGTAAACAACATATCTCTGTGACAACAGTGTGTTGATTAATTTTCTGTTTTTTTTTCAGAGGAAACAAATTCCTTGCGTACAGTCAATTCAAAATCTTGTTAAAAAATTTGAGAGTTGTCATTGTCTCAAAAAATGCAGAAAATGTCATGCTTAAGAAGTGTCACCAGAAAAAGTTGACGAAAGAAAATACTGGATACACAAATTTGTGCAACAATCGAAGTAGATTCAATACGTTTGATTCAAAAATTCAAATGTTTGGTTTCATCAAGATGGCTGTACTGTACAGTTCACAACGCTCGAATTATTAGGGAACATTTCAACAATACTTTTTTATTTTACATCATTTAAATAGCATCATCTACGATCATAATGAGGTTAGAGCCCAAAATTTGGATGAATTATAAAATCGAATAAGAGAATACTCCAATTCTGTTACAGCAGAAACTCTGTCCGCAGAAGTTTTTATTACAGATTGGAATACTGTTCAGCCGTAGAAGGTCAAATATTTGAATCATTTCTGTAGGACATAAAAAATTGTTTATTTATTCTTCTTCTTGTAGTGCCTATCCGTTTCGGATGTTGGCGACAATCATGGCAATCTGCACTTTGCACACTGCTGCTCTAAAAAGATTTGTGGTTGTTGTGTTGAACCACGTTCGTAGATTTTTCAGCCAGGAAATCCCTCGCCTTCCTGGTCCTTCTTATTTATTAGGAATTATATTTTATTTTCAATCAATTTTCAAGAGTACATTTTTTGTTTTGTCTTTTTAAAGAAATGCACTTTTATGTTTAATTCAACCACAAAAAAATTGTTCACATTATTCAAAAACAAATACAAATGCACGGCTTTATAAAGGTCAGTGTATTTTTATCGAGTTTATGAACTCTAAAAAATAAACCGGGCATACTTAATGAAAACACTGAAATAAACAACTCCTACGGCCCAGAAATAACAAACGAAGAAGTAACTATGGCCATTATGCGGAGTAAATAGGGGAAATCAGCAGGACCTGATGAGGTGTATGGTGAAATTTTAAAGCTATTAGCGCCACACGAAATCACAGTTCTTACGAACCTATTCAACAATATCTACGAGACTGGTTACTTACCAAAAGCCTGGCTACTATCAATATTTATTCGACTTCCTAAAAAAGCCAACACTAGAAAATGTGAAGAACATAGATTAATTAGTTTGATAAGCCATGTACTTAAAGTACTCCTTACTATCATTTACTCACGCATATACACCAAATTAGAATAACAACTGAGTGAAGTTCAATTTGGATTCAGAGCAGGACTCGGAACGAAAGAAACACTTTCTAGTTCTTCTAATACAGAGAGCCAGGGATGTCAACTGCGATGTGTATGCATGTTTCATTGATTTCGAGAAGGCATTTGATGAAATTCCACATGGAAAACTAATCGATATCCTAAAAACATCAGGACTCGATGGTAAGGATATAAGACTGATCTTAAACTTATATCTCCAACAAAAAGTAACAGTACGATTAGAAAATGAACTGTCCGAGATCTTCACAGTCAAAACAGTTGTCAGACAGGGTTGCATTGTCACCGGCATTATTTAATATATACTCTGAAAACATCTTTAGAGAGGCCTTGGATGAATCAAAGGGGCTCCAAAGGATGATGGATAAACTTTGTATGAATTGTATGCATAACTAGAACTACTTATTTTTGCTGCTGCCCAAAAAGACAACCATTTAGCGGCAAGACAAATGTTTGATGGCAAAACTCGGGTGCGATATATAAAGGAACTATGGGCCGGGAAAGATTTGAATTTCTTATAGAATGTTTACGTTTTGATGATAAAATGTCTAGATCAGACAGAAAAAAAAACAGAACAATTAGCAACCATTACATACCATACAGAACTGTAAAACGTTCTATAAGCCCGGATCATATCTAACAATCGATGAACAGCTACTGGCTTTTAGGGAAAGATGTCCTTTCCGGATGTATATCCCAAACATCATCATCATCATCATCTTGGTGCTACAGCCCTTAGAGGGCCTCGACCTTCTCAAGCTTTCTACGCCATTCTGTTCTGTCCCTTGCTTGAATTTTCCAGTTGCCGACTCCGATCTTCTCCGCATCTTGTGTTACCCCATCCATCCACCTCAGCTTTGGTCTACCCCGTCGTCTCATTCCCACAGGTTGCGCTGTTAGAATCTTTTTTATCATGTTCGATTCAGGGGCCCGGGCTACATGTCCTGCCCACTGCAGGCGGTTTCGCTTAATTATAGTGGTAATATCTTTACCACCAAACGTATGCTTGTAGATATTCTGCAGTTCGAAGTTATATCTACGCCTCCATATTCCGTTCTCACAGACCGCTCCAAATATCTTGCGTAGCACCTTTCTTTCAAAAATGGATAGAGAGGATTCATCTGTTTTCGTTAGCGTCCATGCCTCTGATCCGTATGTGAGAACGGGGACTATCAGTGTTCTATACAGCCTTATACGAGTTTTTTGAGACAGACGTTTGTTAGCTAGGTACTTTGATAGACCATAATAACACCTGTTTGCAATTATTATTCGCCTTTTTATTTCCTCAGATGTATTATTATTGGGGTTAACCGATGTCCCTAGATATATGAACTCATTGACTGCTTCGAAAGTTTGGTCATTGATGATTAAATTTGTGTCAACATTTCCAGCTCTTGTGTTTGTGTTAGTCGCCATGAATTTGGTTTTATTTTGATTTATATGTAACCCCATTCGTTCTGCTGCTGCTACTAGCTCGGTTAGGATTTCCGCAGTTCTCGCCCTAGTTCTTGTTATAATGTCCACGTCGTCTGCATATGCTAGAATTTGGACTGATCTATTAAATATTGTTCCCCTGCTATCTAAATTAGCGTCTCGTACAACTTTTTCTAAGGCGACATTAAAAAGCTGACACGCCAGCGCATCTCCCTGCCTTAACCCCCTATGTATTTGAAATGGGGTTGACGAGTCGTTTTGAATTTTTACTGCTGATAGCATCTTCGCCATTGTCACTTTTATCAAACATATGAGTTTTTTTGGAATTATATATCCCAAACAATCCAGCCAAATATAGACTAAGCACCAGAGCTCTTAAAACCTCCTTACAATTTAACTATAATTGGTACTCTACGGCAAAATAAAAGAGAAATTACTCCTGAGATAATAAATCTCAAAAATCGTGAAATTGGTGATACCTTATTTTGCTTTAATGGTGAAAAAACAATGGTATTCTATAAGACAAAAGTAAATAAGTATGTGCTTCTTCTGTCGACAATTCACAACGGTTCAGGAGAATATTATCTAACTGTAAAGCCAGATATCATTAAATATTACAATGCAACCAAGTACGGAGTAGACACATTTGACCAAATGAGGGGAAACATGAACATATCCATAAAAACGAGAAGATGGCCTCTTTGCCTGTTCTATGGCATGTTAAATATAGCTTGCATAAACTCTTGGATAATTTATAATCATAATCAAAAACGACAGGAGAAAACAACCATCAGCAGAAAAAAATTTATTGTCATTTTCTCTGAACAACTGACCACAGCATCGTGTAAATGGGCCAACTTTGAACCGCTTGTTGGAAATATTTTAAATCTGGATTTAGTTTGTCAAAAAACGTCGAATGACTATTCATCATTGCGAGCACTGCCGACGTCCATTTTGTGGTGAACATTGCGCCCATGTTGTCGGCAGTGTAATTCTAAAATGTAGAATTTATGATTTTTTTGTGATTTTTAGGTTTTAGAAACATATCTTTGTTCAAAATAATTTGAAAAATTAAGATAAATAAAATACTTTTTCAGTGACCACATTTTTTTCTCAGCGTAGTAAATTTTAGGATGGTTAGTGTAAATAAAGGTAAAAATAAGGTTAGTATTCTAGGGTTAACTTACCTTATAATTACTACTAATAATTGCTAAAAAATTAAACTACTAACCTGTACTTGAACTCTAAGGACTTTGATTGCAGTTTGCTTGTACAATTTTTCAGATCCAATATGCTCCAGAGCTGATCTTACCAAAGGTAGAACACGTTCATCGTTGGGATCGATATCAACAGGACATCCCGCACATACACCATGCTTTTCTGGTTTAGTTTCAGCTACATCGTCAAACTAACAAAAGATATTAATACTATAAATATATCATATGCCAAATCAAGAGTCTAAAGTTTTATTAGAGATAATATAAGAAAAGGTATCTTCAGATTTGATTATTTTGGACCTTCTGATCTTAAAGTCTATTTTACCATATAAGTCCTATTGTTTTTTATTCCCTACCAATTGGATGAGGTTATTTTTCTTCCTCACAAAGTAAAAGGACAGTGGGGTCGAAGTTGTATGAAGTGTGAAGCTACTATGTCAACCATTTTTAAATTTACATTATGTTTTGTTTGTTTCACTGTTTTTAAATTTGTTTATTTAATTTTCTATATTTTGTATGGCATTTTCTATACACCCGTTGTGTAACGTTTAAATTTTCTTAAATTTAAAATATTTAACGAAACTATACTTTTACGTTAACCCTCTGTCTAGATATTCATTTTTTATCTGTATAAGCAATCCCCCACTTATTGACCAACGGCTTAGGGCGGATGAGTTGGTGAGTGGTAGGGCATTCTATTGTCCTGGGGTTGAGAAATCGGCCCCAAAGGCGGATGAATGGTCAACGGCATAAGAATGCAGAAGGCAAATGGGAACCACTGCATTACCGGCTCATAGAGCACCTCCAGGAAAATCACCATAGAATTGACACTGCAATTTCAAACCGTTACTAATCATGGAAAGCGGAGGCCAAGATTCGGCAGGAGAGGAGAAACATATTTATACCACGAGGCCTTTCAGGTCGTAAACATGCGAAAACCTCGTGAAACAGTCCTAAAAATAAAGAAATCTAATTTTAGAATGTGCATATGTCTATATGCACATTCTAAATTAAGGAGATCAAATTAGCCAAAGAAACATGGATGAGAGAAAGGTGCGACGAAATGGAGGATGCAATATCTAAACACGACTTATTTAATGTGCACAAAAAACTGAAAGAAATGAGTAATATATTAAAAAAAAGAGTTCCCTCTGTACTTGTTGACACTAATAACAAAATTATAGTAAATGAGTAAGAAATAAGAAAAGAATGGCAGCTGTATATATCAGAGTTGTTTGAAGATGACAGGAATAATATTGCCGAATTCTACCAAAACTGTACGGACGGCCCAGAAATTATGAAATGCGAAGTAGAACATGCTATAAATAATGCTAAAATTAGAAAAGCTTGTGGTCCAGATGATACAGCAACTGAGTTGCTGAAACTGATAGAGAATGATAACATAAAAGTAGTAGTAAGACTTTTTAGTTCAATATATAACACCGGAGTGATTCCCGCAGATTGGCTTAAAGCCATCTTTATCGCAATACCTAAAAAACACCATGCGATAAAATGCTCAGAATATCGATTAATTAGCCTAATAAGCCACACTCTTAAAATTTTCCTCAGAATACTTTACAACAGAATTAGACGCAAATGCGAAGAAGATCTTGAAGATACCCAATTTGGTTTTAGAAATGCTATGGGAACCAGGGAGGCACTTTTTGCGCTTAACATCCTATTACAAAAATGCCGTGACCAGAGAAAATATGTCTTTGCATGTTTCGTGGACTTCGAAAAGGCATTCGATAAAGTACAGCATGTAAAATTAATGCAAATACTGAAAAATATCGGAATAGATGACAAGGATATTCGGGTCATTAAAAATTTGTACTACTTAATGTTATTAGATATGCAGACGATACAGTAATTCTATCAGATAATATTAAAGGTCTTCAAATTCTTCTTGATCGTATTCAAGAGGTAGGAGAGGAAATGGGCATTAAAATAAACTCAAACAAAACCAAATTTTTGGTGTTTAGTCGTGATCCACATCCCGATGCAAACCTTCAATTGAACGGAGTTCAAGTTGAGAGAGTTCACAAAATGACATATTTGGGAACCGTGATAACGGACCAACTAGATCCAGAAGACGTAGAATAGCAATTACTAAAACTACTTTTATGAAAATGAAGTCATTTCTTTGCAATCACCATCTCAGTTTAGAACTAAGGCAAAGAATGGTTAAGTGCTATGTTTGGTTTGTATTTTTGTATAGTGCAGAAGTGTGGACGCTAAAAGTATCGATTATGAAAAAAATTGAAGCATTGGAAATGTGGGTTCATAGACAAATGCTGAAGATACCTTGGACAGCAAGAAAACTAATAAAGAAGTTTGAAAATAAGGCTATTATCGAGCACAAGTTAATTAAATCTAGCCCAAGTACTTTCGCTTAAAATAGCATCTTCAGGGGCATTTCGTCAAAATAAGAACTATCCGGCAAGCGTAGAATGTGGAAACATTAAAAATAACATAAATTGTACAAAACACTACACTAAAACGAGGACAAACAGTTTAAAATTACTTCTACGCTACATTCTCTGATTCATTGAGAGAATGTAGCGTAGAAGTAATTTTAAACTGTTTGTCCTCGTTTTAGTGTAGTGTTTTGTACAATTTATGTTTCCACATTCTACGCTTGCCGGATAGTTCTTATTTTGACGAAATGCCCCTGAAGATGCTATTTTAAGCGAAAGTACTTGGGCTAGATTTAATTAACTTGTGCTCGATAATAGCCTTATTTTCAAAGTTCATTTATTCGACCATCAACCTCCTTTCATTTAATAAAGAAGTACTAAGGAGCGTCAACAAAGACAGAGAACTGCTAAAGACTGCTAAACATCGAAAAATGTCTTATCTGGGACATACAGTAAGGGGAAGTCGATATAAAATTTTACAACTGATCCTTAAAGGCAAAACATAGGGCCGTAGGGGTGTAGGAAGAAAACAAGTTTCTTGGTTAAAAAGCATTCGTGAATGGAATAAGATACCAAATGCAGGACAATTATTCCATATTGCAGAAGATCGAGAAGCCTTCGCAATGGTGATCGCCAACATCGGATAAATCTGATATGGCACGCGAAAAAGAAGTAGTCTTTGCTAAACTCATGTCTAGGAAGAGTTTTCTGACCATCCAAGGGGAAGTCGTTAAAAGGGTGGTTTGGTATATTTTAGGGAAGACAATATTATTAATGGCCATGTATATATTTAAGTCTTTCATAAAAAGTGGTTTTAGATCTTTTTTTGTTAAGATTATGCTTTTATTATTGGAATATTATTTCACAGAATATTGGAATATTCTTTGAAACTGATGGAATATTATAAATTTGGCAATAGCCTGCATCTTTCTGCTAGTCTATTGCGCATTCAAAATTTGTTTTTCCCAAAATTTGTCAAAATTTCCCAGGAGTCGATGCAATTTTCGACACGGCAAAATGTGGTAGTGAACTGATTCTTTTCTTTTAGGAATTTGCCTTTAGTAATTTACTGAGACGCACCCCGCGCCTACCTGCCCCTAACCGCAATAAAAAGCTATAAAACAAATTTAGTAATTATTGTGTTAGCCCTTTTCTGAAATAATGTAACGTTCCATAATTTGATCACATTGTACATGCACCATAAAACTTTCTTGCTTATTGTTTTTTTTATCAATTATCTTTAATAGAGAGGTAATACACAATAGCGTTGATAATGCACCCACTAATATTTTATAACATGTATTGTCAATTTCGAAATAACATTGTTTTGCAATAATATACTGATTTATTTCATCTTTTTAATTAATTTTTAACTTTATCTTCAATTTACATTGTAAAGTTAATAACCAATTGTTAATTTTAAGTTGAGTTTTTCCACTCCGTATTATCAACTTTAAAACCTACGCCTACATATTTAAAAAAATTAAGATATTGCAAAAATTTTATTTTGTAATGCAAAATTAATTAAAAAAATACTGTAACAATTTTTTGTTACTAAAATACGACTAACCTGTACTGAATTTTCCTTTTCGGATTTAGGATTATCTGGAATAATTTGAGACTCTAAATCGGACAAGAAGTCGGGTTCTAACTGTCTGTCAACTACCTTCGCTGGAGGAGGATCTATCGGATCTGGAAGATTAAACTCCTGGGATTGTGTACAGTTGTTTTTGATAATTTTTGAGACTCCCAGCCATAGCTGCTCTAAATATTCTACGTCGCAAATACGAGCATTTCCGATTTGACAATCGGAACTCTCGCTTTCCTTAGGACATTTTGTTGAACCGACTACTACTGAAAGAATATATTTAAAACCTGCAACTACCTGAAAAGTGAAAATCATTTTTACAATCAATCTATCAGATCAAACAAGTTTTGTAATCAATAAATACCACTTCTTAGAGTTTTGTATCTATTTCAACGTTGGCAACATTAGCCTATTTTGTCTCTCTTTTATGGGCAATATGTAGTGGTTAGGAATGAAATATCTCCAATGTAAAAATATCCTAATTTTACAGGAGACACAAAAAACAGTTAAATAACGCTATTTTATATTGTATTAAATTAGTAATTGATTTTTTTGGCCAAACTAAGATTGATATTGAAATTGATTCCTTAAATCAGTACAAAACATTAAACTAATAAAAAAAATATTACAAACGCGCACATTGGAGAAATTATAAATGATTGAACCGGTACATAGCAGGAATTTTAAATATTGTGTATGGCATGTCATAGTTCACCTTGAATTTGGTGTTATTAGGGGAAAAAGAGTTATATAAACAGTTAAGTGATTTATATGATCTTTATTTTAAATAAACAAACTTCGACATGTAGTATCAGTGTATGATATTTTTACGAACACCACCGAAAGTATTATTTTTTGTTGATTTTAGGAGTATCGTAAAAGTGATGATGATCTTTTTCAATAACTGATTTGAGGTCTTGCAGATGTTTGAACTTGTCTTCTGATATTTCAGGAGGTGTCTGAGGAGTCTGAAAGTAATGGTCCAAAGTTAAATGAACTGAATCTGCTTCCATCATAGTATGGCCTTTTTCAAGATATAACTGCTGTATTGTAAGGGATTTTGCTCTTGCTGGGTCACTTAAAGCTCTAGCCAGAGTTTCTTCAATTTTGGTAGTTGCATCCATCTGAGATGAATACAAGAGTTTGATAGTTAGCAGGAATATTATTTATATAATCTATAAGACAAGATGTAAATTCATTGCTACTGACTCCACCATTTGCTTCATGCCAAACGTACAACTGGACATCTTCATCATTTAGAGAATAAATGGTGAAGTTGTGTACTTGGAGTTTGAGCTTATAATACGATTGATGAGCTAATACTTTTAGACACGTTAAGAAACTTTGAAGACCAACTGTGAGAACCAATTTTTCAGAATTTGCGCTACTTTTTAATAACTCTTTTGCCCGTCTTTCTTCTTTCTGCTTTGACATGTGCTGATCATAATCTTCAGTACTTATTGTCTTCATTTTATGTGCAATATCACATTGATCTTTCCTTTGCTTATGTATGCCAATTTTCTCTGCTTCTAAAACAACTTTAAACAACGTGATATGAGCAACTGACTGCTTTCTATCATCGCACCATTCTTTATATAGTCTGTACATGTAATTTGTTGTTATGATACTGTTGTCAACATATATTCTGCTAGTAGATGCTCTACAATAGTGTGAAGGAACTTAAGGAATATTTTGCAATCATATTCTTTTCTTTGCAAATTTGTCTCATTTTTCTTGGAGTAATCTTGTTGAATGTTGGAATCTTGTAGACTTTTACTAGAAGTATTAATTTCATGAGTGGCTGGCTCCCTTGAGACCCATCCTTTCATTGTGTCTTCTCCTAAATTTAATGTATTCAAAAGCATAACTCGGCATACCTTGAGGTAACTTCCGTCTTTAGAAACAAAAAAAGTCACGAGCACTCTTCTTTTTGGACCGTTTGTCTGAATTTTGTAAAAATTTCTGTAAAAATCATGTTCCGTTTCTTTCGAAAAGCGATCCCAGTGATCATTTTCTATTTTTCTTACAGGTACACGTGTTTCGTAACTAATTGTCTTGTAATTATGGTATGTCTCTTGTGTTTTGGTTGACATGTATTTCAGGTAAGCTTTTTTTCTTTTCTTTACATTTTTCCTTCACTTATGTACAAAACCATGGAGTTCTTCGCCTTGGGAGCGATTTATTTTTATTTATATTTCTTTCACCAAGAACTTCTTTGGCCGAACTTCCTCGTTTAGTCTATTTGTCAAGTTTTTTCCAAGCATTGATCTCTTCATTTTACGTTTTACCCTTCTCAATTTTTCCGCCGATGTTTTTGTGAGATGTAAGGTTTCTGCTCCGTATGTGAGAACTGATATAATGCACTGGTTGGAAGCTTTTCTTTTTGAAGCGAAAGTTACTGGCAAATAGTGGCTATGTATTTACTTTTTCTATTTAGTGAAATGCTGAGATATGCCTCTCGGGACTAGCGTCACAAGATGGCGTCATGGGATAGCGGGTCTTCACATCGATTCGCTAAGCCCGATCAATTTGTTTCTAGTCACCATATATTTACTCTAAGCAGTTTAAATTAAAAAATAAATGAAAAATAACTAACAAAATACAGGCATTAAATAAAAAGTAAAAAATTAAAACATATCTGTCAATAAACAAAATAAAAGATCGATTCAAAAATTCGACTGGGGAATGATTCTTGAACGTCAAAATTCATCATAAATGTCAAACGAGTCATCTTAAATGTACTACTACTACTAAGGATTTCCACAGTTTTCACTGTCTTCCTTCACTCAACCGTTTTCTCCAATTTTCCCTGTCATTCCAGTCTCCATCTCGCAGGGTTCTTTTCTCCATAGCCTCGTCGATTTGGTCTCTGAATAACCTTCAGGGTCTTCCTCTCTTTCTTCTTCCGATCGGGCTATATTCTGTAATTTTGTTTATCCAGCGTCCTCTGTCTGCTCTTCTGTCGTGGCCGTACCAGGATAGTCTCTTCTCTATATAGTTGATTATGTCTGATTGCACTCCCATTCTCCGCTTAATCTCTGAGTTTTTGAATTCTGTCTCTTTTGTAGTCTACAGCTTCTCCTCAGTAACTCCATTTCTACTGCTCTTATTCTACCTCTATTTCTCTTGTTTATTGTCCAGTTTTCGGACTCATATGTCAGGATACTTCTTGTCAGGGTATTATATATTCTCTTAAATGTCATTCCCTTTAATTAGTAAGAATATAAAATCATTTGTTTAATAACGCCCGATATCATAATATTTTTACTATTATTTCCTATTTTTGTTATATATATATATATATATATATATATATATATATATATATATATATATATATATATATATATATATATATATATTACAGGATCCAACTTGTAAATACAATACATTTTGGAGACGATTACCGTCGTATTCCCGTTCTCCTCCGCCAATCCTCCCGGTCCAAGGCATGTTCCTCCTCCAAACCTCTCGATTCCATTCTTCTCTTCTTCATGTACCATGTCCTTTCAGAACGTCGGTTACCATCATGACTGTTTTAATCTTATTCACTGCCACCCTAAATAACATACTTGTATCAACACCATACCAATGTCGCAAGTTCTTCAACCATTAGATTCTTCTTCGTCCTGGACTGCGTTTGCCTGCTATTTTTCCTTGCATGATATTTTGTAGCAACCTATATTTGGGACCTCTCATTACATGTCCGAAATACTTCAGCTTTCTCTGCTTGATGCTTTTTATGATCTCAGTAGTCTTGCTGAGACGTTCTAGTATTGTGGAGTTTCGAATCTTCTCCTTCTCCACTCAGTAAACTTTTAAAATTCTTCTATAGCACCACATTTCGAAAGCCTCAAGGCGATTTAGATCGATTTTATTCACAGTCCAGGACTTGACAGCATAAAGTAAGACCGAGAACACGTAGCAGCGAAGTAGGCGGATCCTTAATGCTAATTTTAGGTCTCTGTTACATAACACCTTGGACATCCTTCTAAAAGCAGCTCTAGCCTGCTCTATCCTGGATCTAATTTCGCCGTGACTTGCGAAAAACTTTGCGCCAAACTTGCTCAAGTTTGGTATTATTTACGATTCCATGGTTCTTCTACTTCCTTCATTCCATGAGTGTGGAGTGCTACCTCTTTTTCTTCTTCCAGAGGGCTTCTATCTGTAAAGTTTTTGGGGCCAACTTTCGTCAGGCATTCTCAATAGGTGTTCAAACCATTTTAAACTTCTTCTTTTTTTTTCTGTCAATGACCGTTTCTGTAGCATTCATGATATTTCTTATAGATTCGTTGTTCTTTCTTTCCAGCCTTGATGTTCTAGCACTTCTTCTCAAATAATCCATTTCAACTGCCTACAATCTTCAGGTCTCTTCAGTTCTACATTAATTGTCGATACTTCAGAGCCATAACATGGTTTGCCCTATTCTTTTTTGTTCCTTTTGCAAATGTTGCGATCCCACTATATGGAGTTCAGACATCCAACAATTTTACGTCCCTGATTAATTCGTTGTCTAATTTTGGTTTCTCCCAAGCCGTTCTTATCAATGAGTGCACCTAAATATTTAAATTTTTCCACTTGTTTGATTTCCACGTCCTCATATATCAACACGTCAAACTTTGCATCTGAATTGGTAACTAAATATTCTGTTTTCTTATTCATGTCGTGGTTTAATTTTACAAAAAACGTCTTTGTCGTTAATGATTGAATCATTTAAAACTCTTTCTATGTTCTCGTTGATTAGATACGTCTGTTATTTTATTTTTTATTAACGAAGTGGTAAATTTATTAAATTTAATACGAATTAAAAATATACGAAATTAAATTGCATAAGAATAGAAAGAAGTTAAGGACATACTACAAAAATAAACTGATAGTCAAATCTAATATTCTTCCAGACGCATCTTCAATTACTATAATAAAAGTTGATTACTAACCTGTTTTTGAACTCTAAGGACTGTGATTGCAACATGCTTAAAGCCATTTTCAGACTCGATATGACGTAAAGCTGCATTTACCAATCTATCAACACCTTCAGCTTTGGGATCGACATCAGTAGGGCACCCGAGACATTCATCCTTACCTTGCACTGGTTCTGGTTCAGCGTCAAACTAAAAAAGGATATCAATAATATAAAAACATTATATGCCAAAACAACACCCAAAGAATAAATTATAAGAGATAAAAAAAGGAAATAATACTGGCAGTTTTTCTGATCACCGCATAACTTAAGCGTATGCTATTGTGTGTAATGACTGAATAATAATCATCATCAATTAGCCTATATTTGTCCACCGCTGAACGTAGGCCTCCTGTAAAATTTTCCACCTATTTCTATCTTGAGCTTCTTGCATCCAGTTTGTGGTGATGTGCTTGATATCATCCGTCCATCTAGTCGGTGGTCGTCCTCTGCTTCGATATGCATCTTGCCTTGGTCGCCATTCCAAAATCTTTCTGGTCCATCTATCATCCGTTAATCTGGCAACATGTCCAGCCCAAGCCCATTTAGCCATGGCTATTTTTTCAACTGCATCTGTGGCTCCTGTTCTTCTTCTTATTTATAGGTTTGGTACTTTATCTCTGATGGTAATACCTAATAATGATCTTTCCATAGCGCGTTGTGTAACTCTTATTTTATCTATTGTTCTTTTTGTCAGAGTCAGTGTTTCTGCACTATATGTAAAAACCGGTAAAACGCACTGGTTAAAAACCTTTCTTTTTAAACAAACTGGGATACTAGACTTGAAAATGTTATTCAATCTACCAAAGGCAGCCCATGTAAGACCTATCCTTCTTTGTATTTCAGTGGTCTGATTATCTCGGCCTAAGCGAATCTCATGCCCTAGATATTTGTAAGCTATTACTTGGTCGATGCTATGGCTCTCAATCAGAATTTTAATGTTGACTACAAGGTTGGTCATAAATTTTGTCTTTGAGGTGTTAATTTTAAGACCAATTGTTTTTGACACTTTATAGAGCGTGTGCAGCATTTTTGTAGCTTTATCAACTCTATCAGATATTAAAACAAAATCCACAAGGAAAAATTCCTGTAGCTGGCTGTATACCACGTATAACAAAAAGAGGTTAATCTTTGTAAATGGGTATTTATTTAAATTATAATTTATTTAAAAAACCCTTAAAAGGGCCACATCAATAAAACAAACGTTTTCGGACCACACAGTCCATCATCAGGTTTTTAAAATCGAAAAATGCTAGGTCACAATGCCTGAGCCACCAAAATACTAGGGTAAAAACTCTTTAAATTACATTTAGTTATGAAATATTGTACATTGTGTTGTAAAATAACTGTGATGTTCAGTATTAAAATAAATTTGACTATAGGTAACACATGGCTCAATCTGGTTCCAGAGCCGGTGAGAGGGAACCTCTGCACTCGGAGAACAGCGTGAACTTTTTTTTAGATATTAAAACGATGTCATCGGCAAATCTTAGGTGGTTCAGATAACATTGCGCCAAGATAAATCAGTAATGGATAATGTTTGTTACAATATTCAATTAAGAGATCTTTAAAATATTTTTTATAAATTACGCATCAGATAATCAATCTCTAACGTGTGTTTTTTTTCTAAATTCAATAAACGATTTGATTTAGCTTACGATTACATTGGAAAATATATAAGAGGAAAGTATGATTTTGATAAAGCGTTATTTATTCTTCCACCAGAGTTTGTATCAAATACTGAATTATTATTAAGATCTAAAGGTATTTTTACTTCTATTAAAAGTTTGCAGCACTTAATCTATGGAGTAGGTAATATCATCTTGGTGATAAGTGACTTGGCGTTCGATATGTGTAATGGGGAAAATAGGTCCTCAGGATTTCGGTGGGAATGTGTAGAAGTTTATCTATTTCTGATTAAAGCAGCAAGTAATTTTCTCACAGATCATTAATAGAGCAAAGAGCAAGTTCAATAGTTTAAATATTTAGCCTCAGGATTAAATAAATTAAATAACTTTTAAACTATTTGACCGATCGGAGTGAAATTTCGCACAAATTTTAAAGACGGTAATTCCTAGATGTTCAAATGTATTAAAAACATTTTATTTTGTTAATAATAAAAATGATATAAATATTGTTTATGTAAAATATAATGAAAAAACTTATAGACAAAAAATCAAATTGTGACCATAATGATTGTTTAAAAAAAAACGCAAGGTAAAAATACGAGTACTTTTTCATCTATTTGTCATCTAGTAACCCCCACTTATGACTTAAAAGCTTCAGATATCTGCGAAAAATTTTGCCGTGAAATCGATGATTTTTGCATAACCAGACAGGGCTGGTTATGCAAAAGTTGCCAGACAAAACCAGACAGTTGCTTTCTCTCCAAAAATATTACAACGATAAACACTTAAAATGCGTGAAAGAAGAAAAAATTAGTCTGGAAACACAGAAAAAAATGGAACAAAGAAGAATACTGAGAAGCGACGAAAACTCTAGTAACGACGATATAAATAGAATGAACAAGGAAGTATCAAGAGAAATCAGAAGAGAAATCAGAAAATACAAAGATGAGAAAATCATCAAAACCATTGAGGAAAATAAGAGTATGAAAATAATGAGAAGCAAACTCACAAATGGAAATAAACAAATAGTCAAACTCAAGGATAGAAATGGCAAGATCACATCAAACACAGAACATTTGTTACAAATTGTGGAATCATTCTATGAGACATTATATAGCAACCAATCGACTCTAGATATAGTCGAATATCAACAGAGGAGGGTTCAAAATCAGGTTTCCGAAGATATTCCAGAAATCTCCTTGAACGAAATTTACAAGGCCCTAAAAAAGATGAAGAATAACAAAGCTCCGGGGGAGGACGGTGTCGTCACGGAAGCGATAAAGATAGGAGGCTCAGTACTGATAGCCAAAATTCAAAAGCTCTTTAATCTATGCCCATGGAATCAAAATATCCCAACAAAGTGGAATAATTCAATAACTGTACTCTTACACAAGAAGGGAGATATAGCAGACCTGGAAAGATACAGACCAATCAGTCTCCTTAACCATCTTTATAAATTATACACCCGAATAATAACGAATAGATTAGAGACAAAGCTGGATTTTTACAAACCTCGGGAACAAGCTGGTTTTCGCCCTAATTACGACACAAACGATCACCTGCAGTGCCTAAAAACCCTAATAGAAAAAACTAACGAATATAACCGTCCCTTGGCATTGATATTTGTAGACTTTAAAAAGGCGTTTGATACAGTGGAACTACCGTCCATCTTAAGAGCACTACAAGATTGCAGGATCGACCACAGATATTGTAATATAATTAAAAATATATATGATAATGCCACAACAACCATAAGTCTATATTCTGCAACTAATAAAGATATAAAGGGGAGTCAGGCAAGGTGATACCATGTCTCCAAAGCTGTTCATTACCGTTCTTGAGTATGCATTTAAAAAACTAACATGGCAACAGAAAGGAATATCCATCGATGGAGAAAGATTAAACCATCTACGTTTTGCGGACGATATCGTGCTTCTGTCAGATACTCTGGGAGAGATCAAAGACATGCTCCAAGAACTGAATGACATACTACAAGAAACTGGGCTGGAGATAAATTTCGAGAAAACCAAAATGATGACCAATATGGTTCCCAGCGAAGAGATACAGATCAATAACAACAAGGTAGAATTAATCGATAAATACACATACTTGGGTCATGAAATTAGAATAACCAGAGACAACCAAACCTGCGAACTAAATAGACGAATCATGTTGGGATGGGCGGCATATGGACGAATGAGAGACATTTTTGAAACAAATATCCCAATTCACCTGAAAAGGAAGGCATTTAACCAATGCATCTTACCAGTCTTGACCTACGGAGCAGAGACCTTAACTTTAACGAAAGCTACTGCCGAAAAACTGAGAGTAACACAAAGGCGAATGGAAAGATCAATGCTGGGCCTGACCTTGAAAGATCGCCTGAGAAATGAGGAGATACGCCGACGAATTGGCGTAGACGATATTATACTGCGAATCAATAAACAAAAGTGGAGGTTGGCTGGACATGTTGCTAGAATGGAAGACATAAGATGGACGAAGAGATTATTGGAGTGGAGACCAAGAGCCGACAAGCGGAGTCGAGGCAGACCACCCACCCGATGGACCGACGACCTAAAGAGAATAGAAACAAACTGGATTGCAGCAGCTAGAGATAGAGAGAACTGGAGACGTTTGGAGGAGGCCTATATCCAACAATGGATGTGAAAATTCGGCTGGATGATGATGATGACACTTAAAATGTGGTGTCAGTGGTGCGACAATGGAGCAGAAGAATATATTATGGGAGCTTGTGATCAATTGCAAGATTTACAAAGCTGCTAAGTAAAACTTAAGCGAGATTTTCAGTACTTCCTTGGGATGCTAAAAACGAGCCGAAAAATATTTATGAAGAACACTTTTCTGAATCGTTTAAAATAAAAGCATGCTTTTGAACGAAGGAACAAAACTCAACCGTTTATGCGATTATAGAGGAAAGATCAGAAATTACAACTTATATTCTTATTGTATTCTTCTGTTCTAAGTGTTTCCTTTAGTAATTCACTCACTATTCTTATGTAACTATTGAAACTATTCTTATCCAATACTTCTTTTCGTTACTGTGATTTCAATACTAAAAATGAAGATATTAACGTAACAATATATTGTATCAGTTTATGGTAGTCCCTTTGTTACACTTTTCAAGGCATTGAAACTAATATTTATTATTTCCAACTTTCAAGGCATTGCAACTTATATTTATGGTATTTTCGAGCTATATATGACTGGGAATTACAAATGAGTTCTAGGAAATACAATTACTTCATTTGATGACAAAATATGAGTCACGTGCTAAGAAAATCAGGTGTGACTACCTACCACAATAAAAATACTACTAATTATTAACAAAATTATACAAAACACTTCAACTTATTGCCAGTTAATATTCTTTATTTCATATTGTCTTACAATAAGGTTCGTTAGTAAATTCATACAAAGCAACCAACAGGTTGTTTTGTCATGAAATATAAGACTGGATAAAAAGAACAATATATACAGTGGATGGTCAAATTATTAGAGCCAC